CTTCTAGATCCCAGAAGAAATGACTTGGGGATTTCCAAATGTTATTTTTCAGTGTTAAATTTAATTATTACAGTGACCCTGTCAATTTCAGGAAACAGACCAATTGTTTTTATGAGTTCCACATTAAATAGCATTCTAGCTTTTAAATGAATCATCCAGTTAGTTGAAAAATATTTCAATAAAGGAAAATGGTCCATTTAAAAAGCCTAGCAACAATGCATAACAAATCAGATAATGGGTGCTTTCTTCTTATGTAATACTTCAGTCACCAAAAAAGTGGAAGTACGTCAGTATGAATGTCACAATTCATTTTAATATAACGGCAACAATCCAGCACTTTTCCCCCTGCTACTTGGATTACTACTTCATATACGTGGATGGTTTGTATAGTTGGTTAAATCTCAAGAAGCTTGTCTTTTGAATTATATACTCCTATTTCTGCCTTTGACTTGAAAACTCACAGGGATCCTAGTTACTAATGACCGTAACTTAAACAATGCTTTTTCAAAATGACAATGCAAAGAATAACATAATTATACTCTTTGGCTTTCCAGAAAGGGAACAATATTAATAAGGGCATTTTTAAAGACACAAATTCACAAATTCACTGCAGCTAGTAATTAAAATTAAAAGCAATAAGTATACAGATTTAAATATAGAATTTTAAATACTGGTTGGTTTGTCTAATTCTCATTTACTTTTTATTCTCACTTCTCTTCTCCCAGCTTTTTAACATTTTCAAATGCATGCTATTTTTTCCTTTCAGCATTATAATCAGATTGAAACAAATGCCTCTCTCCATGGAGGGAGAAAAAAAAGCATTTTGGCTAGCTCCAATCTGCACTCTGATAAACTGAATACAGTCTAAATCCATCACATTGTGGATTGAATTCCCATTTAAATGGATCCGTTTAATAGAGAAGAGTTCACTTTCAGGTCCTCCTGTCTTCCAAAAACTCGCTAATGTATAATACATAATATTAGCAAAATAATCAAAAGTGATTTTAAAGCTTGGTGTTCAGAGTGGTACTAAATATAATATTATTTAAAATGAAATGTTCCAACTGGGTCCACTTTGTCTGTTACTATATAGAACTAAGCACTGGGCAAAAAGGTTTTCCAGATTATTAGAAGTTACTGAATTCTAAAATAATGTGAAAATTGAAATGTTAAAAATATCTTAAGCAATGAATGTTTAGTCATGTGTGCGTAAATACACACACACACATACATACAATTGTATAGCAATAGCACTTAGACTTACATTCCGCTTCACAGTGCTTTACAGCCCTCTCGAAGCAGTTTACAGAGTCAGTCTATTGCCCCCAACAATCTGGGTCCTCATTTTACTGACCTCGGAAGGATGGAAGGCTGACTCAAACTGCCAAACTGCTGACAGCCAACATTCAGCAGAAGTAGCCTGAAGTACTACATTCTAACTACTGCGCCACCACGGCTATAGATGATGATAATAAAATAAAATTCTGCCAGGGATCGGGGGCTCATGAAAGAGCGTCAGCGAAGCTCGCGGAGCCAAACCGGGCTTTTTTTCTGGGCTTCTAGGAGCACGAAGCCGAAAACACCAGCCTGAAGATGACGAATGAGACTTCGTCGAAACGTCGCCATGACACTTCCAATTTTACGTGGGAAAAAACCCGAATAATCAAAGATCTACATACAAATACCTCATCTGTTTGACTTCCTTTAGATATTAGGAATGTAATACGAAATGGAGACAAAATAAAAGTTTCCTTTGTCATGGACAGATCACTGCCTGGTTAAGTGTGGTAAGATAAGATGCCCTATTCGATACTATATTTCTCTTCCAAAGCTTTAAGATAACGTTTCTTTTGTTTGCCTGCCAGATACAGTACATTTCTGCGAAGATCATGACCACCTAGAATGGCTCTAAAATGGCACCTAAGTCAGAGGTGAAATGTAAAATTTGTTACTACCAGTTCTGTGGGCATGGCTTGGTGTGGGGTGGTAATGTGACTGGGTGAGTGTGGCCAACCTTTTTTAAAAAAAACTTTTCAAAGCATTTTTTCTAATGCTTTGAAAAGCCTCTGCCGATCAGGCAACTCAGCTGGGATCATCAGAGACTTTTCAAAGCATTTTTTTACCACCTCTTCAGCCAAGGGGTTGAAGAAAAAATGCTTTGAAAAGCCTCTGATGATCCCAGCTGAGCCGCGCGATCATCAGAGGTTTTTTTTTTAACTTTTAAAAGCATTTTTTCGTCGGAAGAGGTTGTAAAAAAAATGCTTTTAAAAGTAAAAAAAAGCCTCTGATGATCGTGTGGCTCAGTTGGGCATGGGGGGGGGCACAGTGATTTTTGCTACCGGTTCTCCGAACCACCCGCCACCATCGCTACCGGATCGGGTGATCCAGTCTGAACCGGGAGCATTTCACCCCTGACCTAAGTCCTTGTGTGCAGATTTTAAAAGTTTCACAAAAGCAGGGGAATTTTTTTTCTTTCTATGTATAGCACACCAGAAAAGTTCTCCATTATATATATATATTTAAAAAAGGATGCCTGTAGATTTGTCTGTTTGTCAAATACTATGGAATTCCAAATTCCTGGAATTCAATAGCATTTTTGGATTTAGCTTAGTTTAGGATGCTCACAGTTTCCAAGTTGAAACTATGGCTGAGTTTATCCACATGTTGTAAGATTAAGGAGTTTTTCATTATGCCTTTTGACTGCTAGTTGGGGCTCATTGATGCGCTCTTCTACTGGTCTGTCCTACATAGTAGCAGTTCCTGTTCTTATACTGTATGTTATAGATGACTTCTGTTTTTTCTCTTCTTGGGATCCTGGGTCTTTTGGGTTATTTAAGATGTTCTGAAGGATTTGTGTCTATAGTGACACCATGTAGTTGTTAATAGTCTGTTGGTTGTTTCTGAGATGTTTTTGATATATTATAGTGTTATTCTTTTCACAATTTGTGTTGGTTGTGTTGTAATAGGTTGATAGTCAGCCTCTTTCTGGTAAAGTTGGCTGGGCAATGGGTTGAAAGATATAACTAAACTCAATCCTTTTCTTGAAAAAAATGTATGGGCAGTCTGCAGAACATTTGTACCAGTGGTGGGTTTCAACTGGTGTTACCAACGGTTCGCTTTGCGCACACCCTTTGCCAGTGCGTGCTCGCTTTGCTCGCACTCAATGCAAGCACATTGAATTTCAGAACAGCTGAGGCACGGCAATCTGCCCTGCTGCACCTATCAGCTGAACTAAAAACGAACAAATATAGGTAAGTATAGTGCAGGGATGGCGGGAGGACCTAACTGAGGGTCGGAGCGAACCGATTCACTCTCACCTCACCATCTCCGCTACCAGCTCGCCCAAACTGGGGAGAACCGGTAGCAACCCACCTCTGATTTGTACTCGTCTGAATAAAGTTCTTACACAGCTTCTCTTGTAGGAGATTGGGTTGCTGCTTTGGTAATGGAGCACTTAGTGTGAATTATTTAGGATGAGGATCCAGGAAGAGTAGTGTATTGATTTCTTCTTTCTTCATGAAATACATTGCTTTGAAGATGTTATTCATTGTTTTATGTGTCTTCTCTAGATGTTCCTTTTTATTATGACAAAGGTGTCGTCTACATACCAGATTGTATGTGTGGGAGTGCTATGGTTTTCAGTTGCTATGAATCCTGAGACCTGTGATCCAAAGGTGTTCTGATTTCCTGGTGTTTCTTGGTTGTCTATCAAAATAGTGAGGCAGACTCTGATGAATAAATTTAAATTTGGGTATTTTAATATTGGTGTATTTGTCTAGGTTAGGTGTGTTACATAGTACTGCTGCTATGGATTCTTTTGCTAGTTCAGATCTATGGACATAAAAGTTCTGTGACATTGACTGAGACCATAATAGCATTGACTTCTATTTTTAGATCTTTGATTTTCTGGACACATTATAGTGATGAATTGATACAATATTCACCCCCTTCTGTAAGGTGTCCAAGCTTTTGGGGAAATCCTGTGTCTATATTGTATATTGGGGTCCCTGATATTATGATGAAAGTGTATGTTGAGATCGTATTGTTTTGTTTTAAAGCTTTTGGCAGACTGCATTTCCAAATTGTCTTACCTCCAATATACAACTGAAAAAATTGCAACATATACAACTGAAACTAAATATTATGGCCTAGAAGTTTTAAAAATGTGCAATGTCTTTCCTAGGATTTTTAAATAAAAGTTATCAGAAAATATTATTTTGGATCTATTAGACTACTAAAAGGATATTTAAAAATTGAGCTAGCCTCACTTCTTATTCTGGTAATATAAGACGAACCTCACATGCTTTGGTTGTGTTCTGTTATAGCTCTGTCTTGGTTTCATATGAATACATTTGTCAATATAATTTGTGGATTTAGATTTAAGGATCACAGTGTGATGCTGAATTATATTCCTAAAATATGGAAATCTTCATGTGCTAAAAATGAAATGGTAGCATAGAAAGGTCTAGACTTAGTATTAGAGGTTAATTATTAAGTTAATGATTCATGTAGGCATTTATACGAATATCTTTTTGTTAATTGGATTGTTTGGAAAGCATATTTAGTTCTTTTAATCACTATATTTAGGATCTTTCTATAATATAAGCCTTACTTAAAGGTTCTTTTGTAAGTCACAATTTTAGTAAATTCACTTCTGGTATCAAAAAAAAGTTGAACTAGGTCTCTAAACAGCAACCTAAGTGCGAAAGGCAATCAGTAGCCGAATTAAATCTAACCCTTTCCTTTATAACTTGGGTCTTGCAATATTTAGCCAGCACCGTAGAGTCCGTCGCCCTTAGGTAAAAACAAAGAACTGTTCCTAACTCGCCCACTCGGTTTCTCACTAGTGATCCGGGATCCTCTGCCTTGCTGCTTAATGGAATCTTAGTCCCCCCCACCCCCCAGTTTAGATCGCAACCAACTTTCGGCCAATCAGAGCGGAGCTTTACCCGAACTATGGCAGAAGAACGGCGCCGCCCTTACTTTCCAGGAGGCGGGGGCAGCTGGGGGGGGGGTATTCTAGCAGCAAGCGCTCCTTCATGGTTTCCCCTCTATCCCCCTTTGCCTTTGCCATTGCAATGCCTCTCGATTAGCCCACAGCGGGAGGAGGTTACAGTCCCTTCTTCCTTTCAGGTAGGGCAGAATGCTGGGCATGTACGTGCCGGACAGGTTCGCCCTGAAGTCCTCTAAAATTCAAGACGGGATGGGGCTCTTTACGGCCCGGCGAGTGAAAAAGGTGGGTGATCTTGGTTATTGCCCCATTAAGGTGAGGGATACGCAGAGGAGGTAAGGCGCAAGCGAAGCTGGCGGAGTGGGCGGCGGGCAACCTTTAGTTTTAAACTCTTTTTCAAGCGCCCCACCCCCGCCCAGCCCTAGTTAGTTCCCTGTGTTCTGGGAACGCCTGCCACGTATTACAGCCTGCCTCCCTGCTTCTGCCTGCAGCTTTAAGTTCTTGGAAGTCCCAACCCCTTCGCTTTTTCTCATCTCTCATCCCACTTCCGTCTGCTTCTCAGCAGTAAATGCTGATGTTTCGCATTCTGAAACTGAAACCGAACGGTTTCCTGCCCTCTTCTTGTTCTTACTTTAAACCAAAAAGATGGACCAAAAGTAAAGAAAGCCACGGAGAAGCAAGATAATAAGAGTATAGCAGCAGAATATTTCTATAGCTTTGAACTTAATTTCCAGGGAGTTTAGATTTAGCCTGGAACAGGGATGTTATGAAGAAATTTCAAAGATGGATTGGGACGTTCAGTTGTTCACTTTCATTGCAAGGTGATCCTTGTTCTATGTACTCGGAACCAGTAGAAATTTGGAGCCAAATGATATTCTGCATAGAAGATATTCAGAATGTTGTTTCCTGATTCCTCTTTCCCTTACTGCACTATCTTGCATTCCTTGATCAAACTAGTCTTTAATTCACAATTCACATTTCTTAAAATCAAGATATCCATACACTTGCATATATGAAGAACAGTAGATACCAGTTTAAGAGAAAACTACTGTTCCCGCATCTGCGATTCCCTTCTCCTTTTGTTTGTAACAGCATTTACATTAAGTTACATTAGTTTGATAGTTAGGTTAATCTAATTGTACATTGACAGTTTATTGGGAATAATACAAGAGTCTATATACTGGTGGTACCAGTACCTATACTGGTGCTTCTGGCAGTCGTGAAGTATTGGCACTTTAGTTTCTAGAATTCCTAGTTGGCATAGCTTTCAGGTGGGATTTTTGGAAGTTACTTGTGGCATATTTGGGGCTTTGAAGCTGTGGAAGATTGTCTTATGCCAAAGCCAAAGTCAGTTGGGGGCAGTCAATCATGATACAATATGAGCCTCAGCTATTCACTTAATCATTATAGTCATGCAGTAATTGCTAAAAAGTCATTGCCAACCGAGATAGACAAGATTGGCAGAGAGGCCTTAGTAATTCTGCTTCTCTAGGCTTCTGCTACACTTCTGATGTGCCATTTAGCCTGATTGGGAAAAGAAAATTTTAACAAGTCCATCAAACCTGAAACACAGTATTACATACTATGCAGCCCATCTCTTAATATTAGCTCAAATGGAAGTTTTGTGGACGGTGATTTTATTTACTATGGATATTTAGAGGATGGGTTATTCCCTCTTTTTTTGCATTGTGTTTCTGATATTATTTATTGTTATGGTTCCTTGCACTGTCAGACAGATAGAATTTTTGTCTGCCTATCAAGTCCTACCCAAAAGAGCCTTGGTAGTACAGGGGTTTAAGGCACCCTGTTATTAAGCTTATTAAGACCAGCTGCCTGCAATTACTGCAGGGTTCGAATCTCGCCAAGGCTCAAGGTTGACTCAGCCTTCCATCCTTTCTAAGGTAGGTGAAATGAGGACCCAGTTTGTGGGGGCAATAAGCTGACTTTGTATAAATATATACAAAAAGGATGAAGGCTATTGCTGAGCACATTGTAAGCCGCCCTGAGTCTTCGGAGAAGGGCGGCATATAAATCAAATTAAAAAAAAAAAAAAAGGACCTGGGATAGGCAGATGTGGATGTTTGACATTGTTACAGATACCATCAAAGGATGTAAGCTGATCCAATGGTTTCATTGTAGTTGACTGATGGTGAATTTGTCATTGTAGATGGTGTTCAAGAGGTGCTCCAGTTGTTTTGGGATTGCACTCAAGGCGCCTATTGCTATTGGTACTATCTTTGCTTTCTTTTTTCATAGTCATTCTGTTTCTATTTGTTGGTCTTTGTATTTTGTTATCTTCTCCGGTTCTTTCTCTTCTATCCTGCTATCTCCAAGACCTGCCATGTTCACTATCCAGATTTTTTAAAAATCTTTCTTATCAGTAGTTTTAAGTTTGGGTTATTATCTGGCAGGTGCTTATCTGTTTGCATTTTAAAATTGCAGAGTACTTTAGCGTCTTCATTTTCTGTTACTTTCTCTATTTCATTGTCTCATCCGTTCTTGCTTGCAGGCAAATGATATTTCTTGCAAACCTTCCAATGCACCATTGTTGCTACTTTGTCATACCATTGTTTGTAATCAGTCTTTGCAATGTTTCTTCAGCTGGTTTGTTGCACAGTCAACTAGATGTTTAGACTGGATCCAGAATTTCTATCCACCACCTATCAAGTTCTTCCCAAGGACTTGTTGGATTTTTTTATCCAGTCTTTATTACAAGTAACTCAAGATGGTAAACATTCATAATACTCCTTCCTCCTCCTATTTTTGCCACTACAACAACCCTGTGATGTAAGTTGGGCTGAGAGAGAGTGACTGGCCCAAAGTCACCTAGCTAAGGTGTGACTAGATCTCCCAATTTTCCGGTTTCTAGCCTAGTACCTTAATCATTGTATTAAACTGACTTTATGAATTATATGAATGCACCCTTACTTTCATAGTTGATAATTGAGCAGCAGAAGACAGACATACAAGTATTTTTGCTCTTTTTGCTTGTATTGTAAATTTTAACATACAGTTTGATTTCAGCAATTAATAGTAGTTTTTTCATAAACAAAAGATGCCAATTTTGTTACTGTTGCTAGGGTGAAAAGTTTGGACCATTTGCAGGAGAAAAGCGAATGCCACAGGAACTGGATGAAAACACAGACTGCAGGCTAATGTGGGAGGTAAAAAATTCCAGCATTTTGTCTAAGAAATTTTCTAAAACATTGCTTTGGGGCAATTAAGAGGCATGGAATTTCTGATGCTTCATTTTTGCCCCTAATATAATGTTGATAGTGTACATTTTGTCAACACCAGTAAGGACAGATGAATATGCGATCATGCATAAACTTGATTTACTTTAATGTAAGGTATAGTTTAACAAACCATGTTTGTACTATAATTAAACCATAGCATGACTGATTTATCCATTAAATGTTTATGGTGCTAAACCATTTTATGATGTAGGCGATGAGAACTTAGAGTTGTGGCAGTTAGAGTTGTGGCAGTTAGTTCTCAAATGTCTATGCTGAAAAGGTAGCTGAGCAACTATAAAGATATTGGTGTGTTCACTAAGACTAACAATTGTAAATACAATACAATTTATGTGCTTGTCTATTTAGTATTCATTCATTCATTCATTCATTCATTCATTCATTCATAGAAAGAGATGAACTTTTATAAAAATACAGAGCTATGATATTTAAGCATAAGGAGGTGCTTGTGCAAGTAGTTGTTGTAAGATTAAGGCTGTGATTTGCTAAAGTGCTTGAGAAATTCTCAGAAAGTCATAGCATATAAATTCCATCCACATGTTCTAGAGTTAATCTTAGTGTTAAAGCATCATCAATATTTTTCAACATAATTTTACCTGAAAAAAATTGAAAAGAAATATAATCAAATTTCATTTCAATGTATAATTGACACATTTTTCCAATTTCCTACATAAATTTAATCACCAGTTCCATAAAGGATGAAGGCAATCACTGGAAAGAACAAATGTCCATAGCTTTGTATTCTTGAACTAGTAGAAATAGATTCAGAGAAAACGTAGACCTGTTGAGGACTAAGAAAGGACAACAAACCTATAGAAAATTTGCATTAGGTTTTAAAGAAGAGATGAGATTATGAAAAGATAGACAATTTACCAAACAACCTTGTGTATTAAACATAAAGGAATAAAGGGTAAGTAGCTTTTGGGAGGGGGTATTGCCAAATTATTTGTCTGGAATAAATAGACTTGAACCAGCCAGCGGTAGCTAAAAAATTGCTTGCTTTAACTTCATATTGACAGGTTACCTAGTATTCATACATGAAATATGTTTCAGCATATTTTAACTCACATATTTTAGCTACTGATTGCTTCCTTTATTACAAAGTATATTTGAATCAGTATATTATGAATCAGTATGAATTTTTCTTGAATGTTGAAAACAGGTTACCAAAATTTATAATTGCTAAGTAGCTGAAAGTAACAATTCAACTTCTTTGTCATTGGCTGTAATTTATTTATTAAAAAAAAGAATAATTGAAGAGATTCATATATTGTCCAGCGGCACGATGGCGCAGCAGTTAAAGCTGCTGGGTTCAAGACCTTAAGCATCGCGCGATTGGTGAGCTCTCGTTAATTACCCTAGCTTCTGCCCATCTAGCAGATAAATAGGTACCACTTTGGTGGGAAGGTAGCAGTGTTCTGTGCGCCTTGGCATATAATCATGCTGGCCACATGACCGTAGAAATGTCTTTGGCAACGCTAGCTTCCTCAGCTAAGAAACGGAGATGAGAATCGCCCCCCAGAGTCGGACAAGGAAAACTTTTACCTTTATATTCTGTCCATCCATGTAATTAAAAATATGAAGCTGTTGTAATTCTGAAACTCTGAATTCTTTGCTTTAATTTGCATAGATTGCATTAGAGTATACAAGAAGTTCATCTTGAAAACTTCACCCTTATTTTTGAACAACTTGAAATACCCCAATATTTTATTAATAACATCTCAAAAGCTGGAAAAGGATAATGGAGTCTTTCAGTACTCAGAGGATGTGGTGTGCTCCAGCATCATTAGATCCTTGTTGTAACATGTTCTTGAAATAGATAAAATCCAGTACATAAGTTGATAAGAATTGTATTAATTAATCATTTTGATTATTTACTCTCATAAGTATATTGCTGTGGCTCAGTGGCTAAGACGCTGAGCTTGTTGATCGAAAAGTCGGCAGTTCAGCAGTACGAATCCTAGTGCTGGGTGAATTCCCGTTATTTGTCCCAGCTTCTGCCAACCTAGCAGTTCGAAAGCACATAAAAAATGCAAGCGGAAAAATAGGGACCACTTTTGTTGGAAAGGTAACCGTGTTCCATGCGCCTTTGGCCTTTAGTCATGCTGGCCACATGACCACGGACACGTCTTCGGACAGAGCTGGCTCTTCAGTTTGAAATAGAGATTAGCATCACCCCCTAGAGTCAGGAACGACTAGCACATATGTGCGAGGGGAATCTTTACCTTTACTATTTCACTGCTCTTTGTTAATTAAATATTTTTATTTTGCTAAAAACCACGGATTGTCTTGAGAACTTGGTTATTGTCTGATAAGGATGCATAGTCCATTTTTTCAACAAGCCATAACCTCGGGTTTTATGACTTTTGGCACAGTATTTTAACTTTTCTTTTCCCTGACTTAGTTTTGAGATCATGCAGAGATTGCTGCACGCAAGCTTTGATGACTTTTTGAATGCTTGAACCTAAGCAACTTACGTTTAAATGTGATGATCTGAATAGAAGAGTTGTAAGATACAAGTCATGTTGTGAGCTTCAAGTTTATTGCTAGGAGTATGTAAAGTAGAAAGCAGCTGTCAAGTTTATATAGATCAGGGCTGTCAAACTCCCGGCCCATGGGCCAGAGGCGTCACGTGCTGGCCATGCCCATGCCCAGTTTAGCGAAGGGGAAAGTCCTGATATGTCATATGACGCCGCCATGACAACATGAGTTTGACACCCCTGCTATAGATAGTCTCTTAAAGAAAGTATGAATAGAATAGAGTAGAATAGAAGGATAGGATAGGATAGGATAGGATAGGATAGGATAGGATAGGATAGGATAGGATAGGATAGGATAGGATAGGATTCTTTATTGGCCAAGTGTGATTGGGCACACAAGGAATTTGTCTTAGTTGTATATGCTCTCAGTGTACATAAGGAAAATAAGGAGAATAAATATATTTTATAAAAAGATACAACACTTAGTGATAGTCAAGGTTACTAATAAGCTATCAAATCGTACTAGGAAACAAATAAAAAGAATATAATTATTTTTATATATAAAAAGATATAATATAAAATATTGTATATAAAAAGATACAAGCAATATGGTTATAGTAATAAGTGGGAAGAGATAAATACTAGTAAGGAAGAAAAGAATAATAGTAATACAGTTTTAGTAAATTATTTGACTGTTGTGGGAATTAGTTGTTAAGCAGAGTAATTACATTTGCGAAAAAACTGTCCTTGTGTCTAGTTGTTTTTGTGTGCAGTACCCTATAGCGTTTTTTTGAGGGTAGAAGTTGAAACAATCCAGGATGTGAGGAGTCTGTAGATATTCTTACAACCCTTTTTTTTGACTCATGCAGTATACAGATCCTCAATGGAAGGTAGGTTGGTAGCAATTGTTTTTTCTGCAATTCTAATTATCCGTTGAAGTCTGTGTCTGTCTTGTTTGGTTGCAGAGCCAAACCAGACAGTTATAGAGGTGCAGATGGCAGGCTAAATAATTTCTCTGTAGAACTGAATCAGCAGCTCTTTGGGCAATTTGAGCTTTCTGAGTTTACGCAGAAAGAACATTCTTTGTTGAGCATTTTTGATGATGTTTTTGATGTTAGGTGTCCATTTTAAATCTTGAGATATGATAGAAGCTAGAAACTTGAAGGACTCTACTGTTGATACTGTGTTGTCTAGAAGACAACTTCTGTTTGTCAAGTTTGTTTCTACAATATTTATTATTAATTTAGCCACATTGAAAGCATGTTCCTACATTTGATTAGATATGTGCAAATACAGGAATAAAAGTATAGATTTTTGAATCTTATTAGGTAAGCATTTAGGTAAGTAAACTTAAACTTAATTTTTTCAAAATAGATTTGAATAGCATATCTGATATTATTATTTATTTATTTATTTATTTTATTTCTATACCGCCCTTCTCCCGAAGGACTCAGGGCGGTGTACAGCCTAATTAAAAACACAAAGACAGACAAAATTTAAAAATAATTAAAATTATTAACTAATAGGCCCAATTTATAAAACCCCAAATTTAAAATCCCATTTAAAACCAAATTAAAATCAAGAGCCTTGATAGTATAGGGGTTTAGTGCACCCTGTTATTAACACAGCTGCCTACAATTTCTGCTGGTTCGAATCTCTCCAAGGCTCAAGGTTGACTCAGCCTTCCATCCTTTCTAAGGTAGGTGAAATGAGGACCCAGTTTGTGGGGGCAATAAGCTGACTTTGTATAAATATACAAAAGTATGAAGGCTATTGCTTAACGCATTGTAAGCCGCCCTGAGTCTCCGGAGAAGGGCGGCATATAAATCAAATTAAAAAAAAAATCTTTACATTGATAACCCAGCCTGGCGGAACAACATGGTTTTGAGGGCACAGTGAAATACACGGAGATCAGAGATTTTACGAATTTATGGGGGCAGTTCATTCCAAAGGGCAGGGGCTCCCACAGAAAAGGCCCTCCCCCTGGGTGTCACCAGCGGACATAATTTGGCCGATGGCACCAGGAGGAGACCCTCTCTGTGGGAGCGAACTGGCCGGTGGAAGGCTACTGGTGGCAGAAGATGGTCTCGAAGGTATCCAGGTCCAATGCCATGGAGCGCTTTAAAGGTGGTAACCAACACCTTGAATCGCACCTGGAAGACCACTGGGAGCCAGTGCAGCTCACGCAGGACGGGTGTCATGTGGGCACAACGAGTTGCGCCCATAACCACCCACGCGGCCGCATTCTGGACCAGTTGGAGCCTCCGGGTCCTTTTCAAGGGGAGCCCCATGTAGAGAGCATTGCAGTAGTCCAGTCGGGAGGTGACAAGGGTGTGAGTGACTGTGCGCAAGGCGTCGCGATCCAGAAAGGGCCGCAACTGGCGGATCAGGTGAACCTGATAAAAAGCCCCCCTGGCCACGGCCGTCATATGTTCTTCTAAAGACAGCCGTGTGTCCAGGAGGACGCCCAGATTTCGGGCCCTCTCTGTGGGGGTAAAGACTCACCCCCAATAGTCAGCGATGGCACCAGCTGACTATATTGCGGCACCGGGAACCACAGCCACTCGGTGTTGGAGGGGTTGAGTCTGAGCCGATTTCTCCCCATCCAGACCCGCACGGCCTCCATGCAGCGAGACATCACATCAAGGGCATCGTTGGGGTGGTCTGAGGTGGAGATGTACAGCTGAGTATCATTAGCGTACAGATGGACTCTAACCCCAAAACCACGGATGATCTTACCCAGCGGCTTCACATAAATGTTGAACAGAAGGGGCGAGAGGACCGACCCCTGCGGCACTCCCCATGCAAGGCGCCTCGAAGTTGACCTCTGCCCCCCTGTCAACATGAACTGTGAGCGGTCGGAGAGGAAGGAGGAGAACCACCGCAAAGCCCCCTATTCCTAACCCCCTCAACCGCTGCAGCATGATACCATGGTCGATGGTATCAAAAGCCGCTGAGAGATCTAACAGGACCAGGACAGTGGAGCAACCCCTGTCCCGAGCCCTCCAGAGATCATCCACCAGCGCAACCAATGCCGTTTCTGTGCTGTACCCCGGCCTGAAGCCCGACTATTAGGGAAATTTTATCTATAAATAGCCCAGGTGCTCTAAAGACTGATCATCACACTAGTTCTGTCATTGTGCAATGAAGAAATAGTATTATCATTATATAGATGTAACAGTTTTTAATATTTTACCATATTCACTTGAAAATAAAGATTACTTCCTTATGACTTCAGTACAGAGCACTTATTTATTTATTTATGAAATTTATATTGTTGCCCACCTCACTCATGGTGATTGGCTTACAAATTAAAAGTCCAAATACAAAATTCACTATGTTCCTACTTCCTTGGTGACAACATTCAGGCATCACTTGATGGGTTCTGTATCAGGATGGGATCTGCTGGTGAAGCCATGTTTTCAGTCCTTGCTTTCTTCCACTCTTTAGATTAGCTAGGAAGCTGTTGAAAATGAATGACTGTCAAAAAGGCATAAATAATTAATGCAGGAAGCTGAAGCAGGAAAAACTGCTACATTGCTTCATGAGGGGCAAGTTTAAAAATATTGGACCTGCTTTCTCTTATAACCTTCTAGATGTAAAAGATGCTTTCCCTGCCAGGGAGATTTTCCATCAGAAGATTGCCAATGTATTTGTTTTTATCCCACCTTTATTATTTTTACCAATAACTCAGGGCAGTGAACATATCCAACACACTTTCCTTTTCCTATTTTGCTCACAACAACCACTCTGTGAGGTGAATTGTGTTAAGAAAGAGTGACTGGCTCAAAGTAACCCAGCTGGCTTTCATGGCTAAGGTGGGATTTAAACTCAGGGTCTCTTCCTTTCTAGCCTGGTGCCTTAACCAGTAAACCAAACTGGCTCAATTATGATTTCCAGTTTCTGAAAAGGCTATTACATCATGATACTTTGCCAATATTTGCCATATTTTTTAAAAATTGCTACTTGATTGTAACTACTTAAGGTTTGATTTATGTCAGCAAGATCCATTTGGAATTAGACAGCCAACTAACTATTAGTACCATGTTTCATACATTTTATGGAAACCAGCTTTAGTATAAGAATACTTTGTCAGTTTATGATGCATGAATTGGGCCTTAATAACACTCAGGGAATGAGTTGCCTCCGTGATATTTTCCACATAACTGTGAACTCCATATTTTTTAAAACTTGATCCTTTTGTGAAAGTATTGTGAGGCTTTCACATTTGCCATGGCATTTTATATTTGTAAAATAACTAAATAAATATAGACATAGTACATTGCCTCTTTTAAAAAATAGAGGGACCTTTGGATTGTCTTTTCTTGTTACTTTTCCTGTGACAAAACGGTTATGGTTGTAATCTCTGAAAAGCCTATCAGGAAAAATGTTCTTGTAATATCAGTAAAGGTATTCATCAGCATAGTAATGGATATTTCTGCAAGTCTGTGGATTAGTCTTCTGACAATAGATTTTACTTTAATAGCTATCTTTTAATATTTTTATGTTTGATATTCCACATCAAGAACTTTTATATGTGGGTTGTGGTTAAAAGAAAAATCTCGCTCAAATTCAACATCCTAAATTTTCAGATTCTTTTAAAAATGTTGGTATTCAAATGAATGAATTTCTTGTGTGCATGTTGTTTTGTAATAGACATATTTAATCATGTTTACCATTTGTGAATTATAAGACTTCGGTTTCTTTGCCATTCCAATTAATGTCTTTAACAGATTCATATGACCTAATTTGCATTTTCTGATTGAATGCCAGTGGGACTCAAAAGCATCCAGTAATAATCAGAGGTACAACAGTGAGATTCATCTCATAGAAAGAAGCATTAATCTGGGGGTTTGGCCATACAAATGGAAACTATTTACTAGCAAATTTCTTTTGAAATATTTATTTGACATCAATGTGGGAACCTTAAGACAAGATTTTTGTTCTAGCAGAAAATTCAGGTTAGCTTCCTATTACTTTAGAGAACTATGTACAACTAGAATAGGCTTTTTTATGCTGAATTTAAACATGTCTATTTAGGATTCTTTGGAGTGACAACTAGTTTCAGGTGCAGCTTTTCTTAGATAGGTGCTATGTTCATATTCCCTCCTTTAATATATCAGATCTGAAGTTCTATACTGTATAATACATAAGAATTATGTTCTTATGGAAAAAATTTACTCCCAGGTAGGTTAATCCAAGATAAGACTTTTAGTATTTTATGTTGATTGTATGTTTGGGGAATACTAATAACTAATCACAGTAAGTTAAGTTAAGTAAGTTAAGTTAATTACATCCCTCTTATATTGTTAAATTTGGTCATGGTTCATGGAAGAGCTCCTTCATAAATGTATGGAACCTGCCAGTGGTGGGATTCAATATTTTTAATACCAGTTCTGTGGGTGTGGCTTGGTAGGCATGGTATGGCTTAGTAGGCGTGGCTTGGTGGGCATGGCAGGGGAAGGATACTGTAAAATCTTCATTCTTTCCCCATTCCAAGGGAAGGTTACTGCAAAATCCCCATTTCTTCCCAATACGCTGGGACTCGGGAAGCAGAGAATAGATGGGGACGGGGCCAGTCAGAGGTGGTATTTACCGGTTCTCTGAACAACTCAAAATCTTCGCTACTGGTTCTCCAGAACTAGTCAAAACCTGCTGAATACTATCTCTGGAACCTGCAGTGAATTTTAGCCTTTACTAGGATGTCAGCAAAATAAAAAACTTTTAATAGTTTTTCTTCAGGTGGGTTTCTGATCCTTAAATCACTTCTTCTGTCTAAAGTTTGTTGAAGTGAACACAATTTTCTATCCCATCAGTTTCAAGATCTATGCAAGACTAATGTTGAGCAGTACAAGGCTTCGTATGTTATGCTTCAAAATTAAATTACAATCTAGTCACGGAATATTTTTCTCCTTGTTTTTTATACGGTTTCTTGCAGTTTTTATTTAATAACAGTCTAACAAATGCTTTTCAGAATTGCAAGCAATGTTCTTATTAAGTGCAGGAGAGAAAGCCATCTGTTTATCCTCATTGTTGTGCTGACATTTTTATTGACTGGCTGCAAGGTATTTGACTTCAATTCATATCCCTGTGTCAAGTAGTACAACAAAATACAATCTACTCTGTAATATCTTTAGTCAAATTAAAATGTGATTTCATTTTACATCCACAAGGAGAATTATCAACCTGAACCATGTTGAGAAACATGCTCTTAAAGATCTTCACATTTCTTTTCCACTCCTGCAATTAATATCTCTGATACTCAAAAATTGAGTTGGGTGTGTGTGTTTCATTTTGAAACAACTAACTTCAAAGATTATGTTTATATTGCTTGATAAATGTACCTTCTTCAGAAGAATTTTGAACCTGGCCATTAATGTCATAGTATGCCAGCAGGCTTTAAAAATTTAACAATCTGGAGGAAAACAACCCAAATATATAAAGTTAGAAAGTGCAACAAATCAACTAGAAGAGCTTTTAAAAAAAAGAAGAAAAAAGTTAGCCTGTTTGCAAAGCAGAGATTGAAGTTAAATATGGAACAAAGTAGTATCAGTCTAACTTAATACTTTCAAAGTTATTTTTATATTATGTTATTCTTATTTCTCATTAACACAGATGAACTGAGTTTTCAGCACTTATTCTATTGAGAGTGACTTTAATTCTATAGCAACAGCAAGATTTTTCTTTTGTTTTCAATCCAAAAAACTCTGTATAACAAACGTGTGGACAAAGTATACTAGTGAGAATATTATGTATTCAACAGTAATAGTACATTTAGTAGAGAGGCTGCTTACATTTGAGAAATGAAAAGACAAATCTATATATATAGGAAAACTTTATATGTCAAAGAATAAATCAGATTGATTTGCATTTAAAAAATGATAGTCATGCAATTTATATATAACAGTAATAAGATAAAATGCATATGAGTCCTAGTTTTGTGAGGCTTTAAATAAAAATGGTAATGATTTTGCTTTATAGTACATCTGCATAAACAGAATATTAATGAGCTATCAAGAAAACTAGAAATTGTAAGATATCCTACTTTTCTGCTAAGTTCCTGGTTTAAGCAACCTTGCTTTATACTGGACTGTGGTCATAGTATTTTCCAAAAGAAGGTTCCAATTTCAACAATTTCATTACTTGTCTGCTTAGGATAATGTTCAATTTTGTGTACTCAAGCATTCCCTTCAGGCTTTCAAATCTTTCACGTTGAAAACAGCGTAACCTATTCTGGTTGTGGAAATGTCAGTCTTTTTGAAATGTGATAGTTTTAATTTCATCCATATTCATATCGGAATTAACACTGGCTTTGCTTGTCTGCCCAAAGTCAAATGTATCTAAAATAAAGTGTATGGGGCATTCCCCTCCCACAGTTCTATATTGGTCCCGTAAGTTGCATTTCTATAGTTACCTCTTTAGGGAACAAATTCTTCTTTTTAAAAAAGATTAGTAGGTTGTGGAGACTTAATGCCTGCTAAACTTCAAGAATTGGCTCTTTCTCTTTCCCCACCCTTAAAAAATGATAATTTTTAGGCTGTTTATTTTGGACATTGAAATAGCATTCTCAAATCTACAGTGTTTACTATTCCACAATCCCAACATTGAACCACTCTAGCTGACAGTGTTAAAGTTGAAAACAGTTGAAGTGTACTAAAATTCCAAGTTGGGTAGGGCAGCTGGATCTGGGTATAAATATCTGCATGACCACTAGAATGGCAGGAAGGAGTTAGTCTATGCTCTACAACTTTACTGCCATTTAGAAGTCATCTGGATTTTTTCAGCACCGCTCTAATAACCTAAAGATGGAAATCAGAAAGTTAATGTATTTACCAATAACCTAAGAATTAAATACCTACCCACTGTGACAATTACTGATAATTTTTGTCCCACTGGACTTTTAAGAGTTTCAATTGAAAAAAATCTTATTAATAAAATAGAAATTAAGCAAATCATGGTTTAGAAAGTTATGTCTATTCAGCCAATGCTTTCCTGAATGTTTCCATCTTACACCGCTATTTCTTGAGCGTAAATAATATTCACAGAACCCTTTGCACATGAGTTCATAGGATGTATTAAATCTTACAAAGATAAAAAATACTAACATTTTCCTAACATGCTCATTCCCATTTGTAAGAAAATGCTATATATTTGAAAATGTAGCTTTAATGGATTAAATTCTCTTTTTTTCTATTCTTATTTTTATATTCATGCTAAGGAGAAATGATATTTCAGAATATAAGATCATATGCAATATATTTCATTGCCATATCATTCCTGATTCTTAATTTTCCCAAGAAAAATGTAAGGTAGAAGATCCAAATGAAAATGCATAAAATGCATATGTATGAATATACCATGCCATTTAATATTATTAAAACATAAATTTTCCTCTTTAGAGGCCCTTAAAAAGAAGCTCATTTTTTTACTTTGTAATATAAAATCATAAAAGGTATAAATTTTCAAGCAGCAGCTGGAAAAATGAGGTAGCCACATGCTGTGAAGAACAATAAGATGTTGGTTTTGAAAGGCAAATGAAAGGGAATACGAGAAACTGTAAGTGCTAATAGGAGCCCAGATGTGTTTACCTTTCCTCAACTTATATTTGACGTTGGGCAAATTGCCACTCCTGCAAATTTTGCTCATTTTCATAGGAACAGAGCACCCCACTGTCATTCTCTGTAGTAAATCTAGCTCTGACAATCTCTAATCCCTACTTTGAATTTGGGCCAGCCTGTTGTGTAAATTCAGCTTTGTGGTTTGTTAAACATTGTTTATGGTTTAGCGTGATATTTGTACTCAATTATTTTGACTTCTTTAATAAATCAAATTTTCACATGATACATGAATCCAACCAGAGATTTACTTTTATTAGAGAATAATAAAATGAGAACTTGGGTTTTTTTCATCTTCGTAGTGTTAGCTTTATATCTTTCTCAGTTTTTCAAAGATTTAGCTTTGCTCACATTTTATTACCCTTCCAGGTTCGTGGAAATAAAGGTGAAGTGCTTTATGTTCTGGATGCTAGCAATCCAAGGCATTCTAACTGGTTGCGATTTGTACATGAAGCACCATCTCAAGAACAAAAGAATCTGGCAGCTATCCAGGTAAATTTATCCAGTTCTTATTAGATTTCCAGTTCAGTCTTCAGGTGGTATAGCTTATTGTTTAATAAGTGACTGTAGGATGGCTGTTGTGGCTCTGTTGCCTGAGCCTGGGCTATCGACAGATGCAGACTCTGAGAGTGAGGGAGAGGAGTTGGCAAGGCCTCTCTCTCCAGGACCCTCCTCTCTGGCAATGCCTCCGGAGGACACTGAAGGCCAAGAGATAGGCCCAGAGCCAAGCACATCCCCGCAGCCACAGTGGACAGCGACGAAGGAGATAAGTGCTGGCTGGATCCTTGACAGCGGTTCAGGGAGAAGTGTGCGCAGCAGAGGGGAAGGCATGCCAGAGAATAGCTGAGTCACTGGACCACACCCCAAAGGGTATAAATGTGGGTTTGGTGGCCGGTTCAGTTTGTGACGAGCAAAAACTAGAAATAATCCATGATCTCTGCGTTACTGGACTTCTGCCTGCCTTGTCAGACTGCATTTGGACTAATCCTTGTATTGCTGAAACTTTGCCTGCTTTATCGGAATGCTTGCAGTCTAATCTTTGTTTTGTGTGAGTAAAGTCTGAATTGGCAGCTAGCCACTGGGTTGCTGCCAGCTTTATCTTCAAAGACTTTGTTGTGTGGCTTATTAACTCCAGGCCGTCTGTGGGGGTGCGTGTGTGGGATGGGGACAGAACAATGGCGGCCATAAATGGCTAAAATCTTAGCAAAGTGATAGGTCACTTGTGGTAGTTATATTGATTGTTTAGGACCACAGCTCAGATATGGAGTGTTGAATATTCCTGTCAGCTTGGTATTGTCTGATGAGATTTGATGAGTTATTCTTTTATTCCTTCATCTAAGTTGTTTATGAAGATACTAAAGAATACTGGTCTAAGATACTACCTTGGGGTGTCCCACTATTTACAGTACTTCCCTCAGTGTAGATTTAGTTCCATTAAGAACTATATGTTGAGTGTGGTTGGTCAGCCGGTTACAAATCCATCTGGTGGTGATGTTGTTTAACCCACATTTTTCTATCATATCTAGTATGGGTAGTCCTCAATTTATAACAGTTCTTTTAATGACTGTTCAAAATTACAATGGCACTGAAAAAAGTGACTTATGACTATTTCTCATAGTTATGACCTTTGCAGCATTCCCATGATCATGTGATCAGAATTCAGATGCTTGGCAATTGGTTCATGTTTATGACCGTTGCTGTGTCCCGGAGTCACTTGATCCCCTTTTGTGATCTTCTAATAAGCAAAGTCAATGGGAAAGCCAAATTTCCAAACTGGGTTACTGACTTAACAGCTGCAGTGATTCACTTAACAACTGTGGCAAGAAAGGTCATAAAATGAGGCAAAACTCACTTAACAAATGTCTCACTTAACAACAGAAATTTTGGGCTCCATTGTGGTTGTAAATTGAGGAGTACCTGTAGTAGGTTGTGATCTACTGTGATTAATTTCAATAAGTTCTAATTGTTTCTTGATGACTCAGAAAGCTTCTTGTTTTAGAAATAGATTTAATAACAATGAATTTCTAAAAAATTTTTTTCTCCCAACAGGAAGGAGAAAACATTTTCTATTTAGCTATTGAGGATATTGAAACGGATACCGAACTCTTGATTGGTTACCTTGATAGTGATATGGAAGAAGTAGAGGAGGAAGATGAAGAGGAAGCCATTATTAACCAGGAAGAAGAGGATAGCAAAAACAACAACAGTAATGGCACTCATAAGGAATTGCAACAAACTAATGAAAAAGGTATGATGAATAATTTTAAAATAATTTTAATTTATAATTAAAAACATCTCTTGATAAGTAGAAGAATGAATGGGTACTGAATGAATGTGAATTGAATGCAAAAATGAGTAACCAGTACAAGAGATGTATGTTGAACTGGTTAGGCTACAAGCAGAATGAGTGAGATTCGAATCACAAAGCAAAAATTTCAGAGAAGAATGAATGAGTCAAAAGAAAAGGGAAGAACAAGATAATTGTTAGAATGGAGTTGATACAATCTAAGAAAGAAAGAGTTGAGAAGTTTAAAGAACAAACCTTAATATATGACTTTATATATGAATATGGTGGCATCAAGAATGATTTGTAAGGTCAGAAAGATGGAGAAAGCTATAGTATATAGCAGGGGTCTCCAACCTTGGCAACTTTAAGAGTTGTGGACTTCAACTCCCAGAATTCCTCAGCCAACTTTGCCAGAGTTGAAGTCCACAAGTCTTAAAGTTGCCAAGGCTGGAGATCCCTGGTGTATAGTGACTTTACTTTTGATCAATGTTTCTTCTTTATTGCTCTTTGCATAACATAGTATGATGGTATGAATGTATCTTTCTGTACAGAAAAGGTTATTATAAATATTATACTCCTCTATCCAAAGGTGATACCTCTAGAATCTTAAGCTATTTGCATACTCAACATTGTCATTCAGTTGTAATTCCTAATAAAACATAATAAGAAATTATTAAAGATATAGGAAACAATCATAATGACATTTAGCTTATTCTTGTTTTCACATTTGTTTGCAGTCTGGCCTCTGGCACTGTGTTGATCTCTGCATGATAAAAGTTGGACAACTTTCTCTTAGAACAAAACCTATTGCAATGTTTTTACAAAGAACTAATTTCTTTCTGGAATTTCTGACTTTTCTCTACCATGTAGATTGTTTTCCCTGTAAAGAGGACCATGCTTGTCCAAACTGTGAATCCAGTTTTGCAAGCCAGGAAATATTAGCTGAACATCTTCAGACATTGCATCAAAAACCCAGCGAAGAAAAAGAATTCAAATGCAGGAATTGTGGGAAGAAATTCCCAGTAAAGCAAGCTTTACAGAGGCAGTAAGTCTGTGGCATTTGAAACTATAAAGTCATTAATACCATACAGAAGTATTTTTGCCAGAGAATGTTTTACGGACTACAGCAAATTTAGTTTTGAACTTTGCTAGGTGTTTCATGGGCATATATAATAAACATGTAATATGAATGGGACAAAAACTATGTATAAACAGAACATCATGAAGACATGTTTAATCAGCATCACTTCATTCTAAGTTATGGCTCATTTATCAAACTTATCTAAGCAATGTAATATTAGCCAGTATTGTGGAACCTGTGATGTTAGATGCACACAGTCATAAACAGAGTAAGCAAGCATTTTCAGAAGTGTATATATTAAAAACAATAAGCATAAAAAATTGATAATGACATTTTATAAACATTCATTATTTTAAAATTTGGACTTGGGAATATATTGAAAATGTTTGTTTTAAAAAAAATCTTAAATTTATCTAACATAAGTGTTTCCAGGAAATTATGCGAGTCATACTGCAGGATCTGTTACTTTTTTGGGAAAAATATCTTTTATTTGCGATCTGAGATGATATCTTTATAAAATACAAGTTATTGTATATCATGCTAAAGCAGTGATGGCTTTTCCAGATCGAGTGGCCAAAGTGCGTGCGTGTGTGAATACGCACGCGCACACCCAAACACCCAAAATGCAATGTGTGTGTGGCCCCGCACATGCACCCCACTGTATGTGCGTGCATTTTATTTTTAAAAATTTTTATTTGAACTACTTTTTAAAAATTATTTCTATATTGTTTTAAACTTGTTATCTGGATTTGCTGTTAATTATGAAAAACCAGTTATATTTTGCGTAAGTAAGCAAATAAATCAAGGCCATGCCCATTTTCAAATGTATGACAGGTAGTCCTCATGTTAGGCTGGTAATGGGGCCTTTCCATCATGATTATAAACTGGGATGGTTATAAATCCAGTCACCCCACGTGACTGACTCAATTTTGTATATATATATGTAATATATGCGCCTTGGTGGCGCAGCAGACTAAAGTGCTGTTAAGTAACACCAGCTGCTTGCAATTACTGCAAATTCAAATCTCACCAGGCTCAAGGTTGACTCAGCCTTCCATCCTTTCAAGGTAGGTAAAATGAGGACCCAGATTGTGGAGGCAATAAGCTGACTTTGTATAAAAAAGAACACCACTTAGGGGGGGCCGAAAGCCCTACTAAGCAGGTATATACAAAAGTATGAAGACTATTGCTTAAAAGCATTGTAAGCCACCCTGAGTCTCTGGAGAAGGGCAGCATATAAATCGAACCAATAAATAAAGTGTAAGCATTTTTGTTTAAGTAAAATGCAAAATAGATATGTGTTTCTTTTTATATGAGCAAAATCAGTCACATCACAAAAACAGTTGAAGACTGATATGTTTGACCTGAGATTTCTTTTCTCTTTCCTAACAGTGTCCTTCAGTGCACAGAAAATGTGAATCCAGGAAATTATTCAAGAAGTTTTCAGTGTTCTGTTTGCAACATATCCTTCAGCTCAGAATTGAGGTTCCCTGTCTTAATTACTGGACTACTCTCATCTTGCTGCTGACTCCTCTTTGCATGTTTGCTTGCTTTCAGATTTGATAGTTGCCTTGTGAACACTTAATTATGTGAGATGGAAACTGCTTTTGTCCCAACATGCAGTAAGTTATGCATGAAGTGGTCTAAAAGTCTGCTGCCCAGCATGTGCATTCAAATGCCTTTCAAGATTACATTTCCAGGAGTAGATTATTTGATGCCTTATTTTTCTCTTCTTCAATCACCTGATGATCAGTTTTGAACAACACAAAGAAGCATGCCGAGGAGATGCTAGGTTCGTATGCAAGGCTGTCAGCTGTGGGAAGAGGTTCAAGAGTAAGGATGCCTTGAAAAAGCACAAGGAAAATGTTCACACTGGTAAATAACATCTTGGAATTGTCATTACTAAGGAGAAATTTCACCAGTTTTAGAATGTATTGATACACAGTTAAGGAAAGATTGTGGATTTTTTTTTTTACAAATTGTGGGAGCTACAATTGAAGGTTCAAATTCAGAGGAAGATAATTCTGAACACTAGTTTTTGTAAAAAGCCATAAGAGTCAGTTGTCGTCGTCCTCATCATCTTCAAAGAAACACTTGTGACGGTTAAGCAATTGCTGATACTGAAGCAGCATCGCAGACTCACAAGCATTTATATCAAGGCCCAGTCATGTGGCCAAATGAACAGCATGATCTAGAAAATGAAAAATGGAGGGTGGTTTCCCAAGATCAGTTTCTGGGAAGGTAAATGTGTGGCAAGGTTTCTGCTCAGAATAATAGGTGTGTGGTTGCTCACACTGCCCAACTTAAATATGGGTCTGTTTATGATTACCATATGTTGTCTTTCGACCCCAAAAGTATACAGCTACCGGTAATTGATTACTGAATATACAAATCAGATAATTTTAGTGTTTGTGTTCACATTTTGAAATTGTTTTTAAAGAACCTGACAAAACAAAAACAGTGCCTTAGTCATGTGCAACTTTCAAATGGGGATATTTTCCCCAATTCCTATGTTTCTTTTGTGGCTGTATTGTTACAGTGGAAAATCTACTTCTTTTCTATATGTGTTTCAACATTCCAGGCAAAGGAACAAAGCTTGCAACATGAAGCTGCATTTATTAGGCCGATTAAAGTAGCAAAAGCATACAGATGCTAAGATCTTCTTATTATCCATTAGAAGTGATTGGGTGACAGCCTCTTGCTGAATAAATAGAAATCATAAGGGGTGTAAGGCAGCTTGGCTTCAAGAAAAAAGCTCATGGAATGAATAGACAGAGTTAGCAGGAGTTTGCCTGTGATAGGCACGTTTGTTTTCTTGATACAAAGCAATCCGAAATATATATAAAAGTGTAGCAATCCGTGAACAAACATCAAGGATAGGAGCAACAAGTTGCAATATTTCACTTCATGAGAACGGGGTCAGCAACAATTTGAACAGTGAAATCATCTGTCCACACTCAAGGAGATAGAGAAATACTGGAGCAAGCCCAGTGAATAAAGAGCTAGAAGCTGATTACATGGGTGAAATAGGCTCTGTGTACTTAGGAGAAGGAAAAGATTGCATGATTGAAGGTCTCTAAAGGATGCAGAAGACAGACAAGTCATGGTAGTTTTTAGTTTTCTGCTATGAGAAATTGAATTAAAAACTACATGTGAAATGTGCTCTGTGAAAGCAAGGATCAAGAACATGACACAAGAATATCTGTAATTTGTCAAGTCCAATGAAAAATGACTTTTCCTGTGTATAGGAACATGATGGTAGTGTTATCTGTTCCTACAATCAAAAGAAGAAGGCCAGAATGGAAGTAATATTGGAAGTCAGTAATTAGCTACACAAAAGGTGTTGATATTTGGAGATATTTGGTTTTGGGTCAACAAATATAACCAAGCAAACTAGATTCTTGGAGCCTTTTTAATCAGTTTTTTTTGAAAGGGAAAACAAGTCATTTTGGGTACAGCAATCTTGACAACTACATTTATTTATATTTTATATATTCCTTAATTTTGTTAAAATGGAGATTTCCCAATCCATTAAACTACCTGTTGGTGGAGTAGAGACTTGCCTCCCATTTTCTGAATGAAAAAAATATATGCAAATGTTGTGCCCTTGTAATATTTTTCAAACCTCTATTATTTTTTTCCAGACTCTGGAAAACAGAGAAATTTGTTAGATCGGATGTTTCTAAATGATGGTCTGCTGGTGCAAAATATGTCAGTCCTACTAAGTAGAACAGACCAGGAAATCAAGGATAAACTTGCTTTTATGGAGATTGGCTGTAATACCAGAATTTTGCAATCTTCCAGAGAAAAAATAATAAAATGAAGATGGCTCCACCTTTAGACAATGACAGAATGAAGAACTGGCTACTCATAATTCCTCTCTGGGAAAGAAGAGGACAGGAAATTGCCCACAAGCGTTCCAGACTGTTGCAATTTGCAAGACCACAAGACAGTCTCTGATGGGTTTAGACTTGTGGGAGAAGAGGGAATAGCCATCTGATTCAAACTGTGGTTAGCACCTTCAAAAGGACATTGGGTTCACATACGTCTTTTTGCAATCACTTTTGCAAATTGCTTTTTAGCTGCTTTTCAATTATGGGGAACTTTGGATCAACAAGTCTGAAAATACTGGGTGATCTTTCTTCCTTAGTGAAAGAAGTTTAAATATAAGTTTTTTTAACAGCATAAATAACAAAAGGGTGGTCAGAACTTTGATTTTATAAAGTTGCAAACTGACTAAGTATGTAGATGGATTTGAAAGATCATTTTGGAATTAACTATAAAGAATCCTTCCCATGAGAAAATGAGAACTATTTTGAGTTCTTTAAAAAAAAACAACAGGATGGGACTTTGAAGGTTGTAAAGGAAACTGCAAGGAACTAAAAATTACAATTAGAAGAATACTCAAACTCTACTTAAAAATACAGAAAGTAGCAAAATACTTTTTAACAATGGATATATTGAAAGATATTTTTGAACAATGGATCCAGAATTTTAAGATCCTGTGCCTCTCTACAGAAGAAGAGATGTTGTATTTTAAGAAAAGGTGATAACTTACTAATATTGTTTATATTGTGATGAAGGGGGAAGTAATTTATATTTTTCTTTATATATTTTTTCTTTATTTATTTTTTCTCCACCTATTTTTTTAGTTTGGATTTTTTATCACTGTGTCATTTTTAATAAAATTACTATTTAAAAAGAAGCTTGCAAGTCTGATTTTGCTGTACTATCTCTTCCTTATACAATAGGGAATTAGGGAGATGTTTGAACTGCTTTCAAACGATACGTCCTTGTTCTAGACATAAAAATGTCTATTCAGTACCTTTTGCCTATGTTCATGTACATTTCCATCAAGATCATCTTCCTTGATGATCTTACATGTTGTACTTCACAAGGACTATCAAAATAGCCAAAAATAAGTTGTAAATCATTTTGCCAAAGCATAGCAAAGTTGATTGGAAGAATTTTAATTTGAGCTATTGAATTTGTAAATTCAGGCAAAGACTTGGACCCTGTACAGTAGAAAAAGTAGGCTTTTGAAATAAATAAAAGAAAAAGTTAGAAAGAATTTGAATACTGTGTTATGCATACTGTATAAGAAAGAAACAAGATGAACAAGATAAGATTTCATAGGATTATGGAGGCGTGGGATGATTCTCATTACTGGAAGGTAGCAATGGAGGATTATCGTTTGCTCAAGTGGAACAGAAGTAACTATAAATGAATGAAAGAGTTGCACTGTATACTAATATCAATTCTTGCTTAGAAATCCATATGAATAAACTTGGCAAGGCAATATATATAGTATTTTGGATTAAATAAGCAAAAGAACTAATAAAATGACTACTGTTCTTGGGGTCTAAAATTAGCCCCATTACTAGGAGATATGAATGACATTTTCCAAAAGCAAACTGCACATAATTGTAAAGAGGATACTTTAATTACCCCATCATGTTTATGTGACAGACTGCCAAGCTTGATCCTTCTAGGAACTCCTGACTTGTCTTGCCAACAGCTTTCTTCTTGCAAGATTAGAAAAGTGATTGACAATAATAGATAACTGATTAAATCCTTAGTCGATTTAATAACCAGGGGTAATAGGAATATCTGAATATATCAAGTTATGTAATGCTGGAGTTACTCATTTTAAGGGACATTAAAAATAAGCATAGTCAAATGTATGAGTTGTGGAGGTGCAGTGGTTAGTGCAGTACTGCAGGCTACTTCTGCTGCCTTCCGACTGCCTGCAATTTGGCAGTTCAAATCTCACCAGGTTTAAGGTTGACTCAGCCGTCCATCCTTCTGAGGTCAGTAAAATGAGGACCCAAATTGTTGGGGGCAATATGCTGGGTCTGTAAACTGCTTAAAAAGGGCTGTAGAGCACCGTAAAGCAATATATAAGTCTAAGTGCTATTGCTATTACAGACTTCAGAAAATTTGATATAAAAAACTTGGCCCTTTTGTTATTTATTTATTAGACATGTAGCCTGTCTCACTCAAGCAGCTCCTAGGTAGACAATGTAACCCAGTTAAAAGCTCATAAAATATCTTCCTAAAACCATAACATAACATAGCAAAAATAGAAATGGTGCAATGCATTAAATCAAGAGAACGCCCTCTGAAATAGTGTTTAGTAATTTCCTCAAAATCAACAGAGGGGCTAAGTCTTCTCTTCAAATCTCTGACACAGATTATAATTTTTGTCTCTCAGAAGGGCAGAAGCACCCGGCAGCTCTTCCCCACAATATCTAAGTGATCTGGGCCAATTCTGTGATGTACTCCACTCATTAATAATGTCACCTCCTGTTGGTTTCAGTCTGGTAATAAATAAATGTAGTAAAATAAATTCAATAATTGACATGAGAAGCTAATGGGAAAAGGAGCTTCAATTTTATGGAAGTTTGCAGAAAAATAGATCTTAAAATAACAAATTGCAACAATTCTAGTAAGGAGCAAAAAATGGACTGCCACAAAAGAAGTCTTTATGCTTATTTAGAAAGCATAGTGGGAAAGATCTGAAAACAAAAAGGAACATATAAGGAAAATGGAAAGAAGATCATGTCAGAAAGGAGGTGCATGACTATGTAGTCTGGAACAGAAAAACTGATGTTCAGAAAGTTAAAGTTTAGAATTTGTTCAGGATAGCAAAGATCGTGGTGGAAAGAAACTTCTTCAATTAAGTTCATGATAAGCTTAATAACATAAGATACTCAGATTCTACTTTATTCAGCCTTCTCTAACATAAATCTGTTCCATCAGCAAATGTTAAGGCAAGGTTAAAATTTCAGACTTATGGAAACATGGTAAAAATGAATCTAAATATTCAGGACTACTTCAATTCCTTAGGCAGCAGAGTGGAAATCCACATATAAAATTGATGGAGTTGGCACACAATGTTGTGATTGGGAAACACTGGACTGGTCAATCCCTTATCTCTGATGTTTGAGAAATCTTCAAGAACTAGAAAATTTGATAAATGCCAGTTAGCTAGAAGAGAGAAAATATTCTTCCCATCTCCAAAAATGGAAGATTGAACAATTTACAAATTGATCATCTGATATTGATATTTGGGAATATTCTAGTGTTAATAAAAAAAAGGGATTGATCTGTAAGTTCACTTAAAACATTGCAGTTCTAATAGCACTGTACTATACTAATACAATTACTATACTAATACTATGCTATGCTATATTATACTAATACTGAACTGAACTTAATCTAAACTAAAGTAAACTAAAACTAAAATTAAATTTGGAGCACTATAGTCACATTGCTCACTGATAGTTCATTAAATTGGAGTGAGATAAGTTAGGTGCCAATGTTATGTATTTTCATTAACTTTTTAATGAAGAGATAGAAGGAAAGCTTATCAAATGTTCAAATGATATAGATCTGCAGAGGATAGGAGTAAAATTCAAAATTATGTTGATAGGAGAAGCAATTAAAAATAACAGTATGAAATTTAAGTACCAAAAAAAAAGTACAAAACCCACTTGGGAAATAAAAATAAAATACACAAGTATAAGGATACTTACTTACAAACTGATTATGAGCCAGCAATGTGATGTTGCTAAAAGAGGATATATACAACTTTAAATTGAATTAAAATTATGCACTAAAGACATTATTATATTTGTATCATTTTTTTTTAAAAAAACATTTTTGTGCTGTAATAGTTCCATCTATTCTACTTTGGTCAGACCCTACCCCAAATTTTAAAGATTTTAAGAATAGTTCAGTAAAATTACCTGAGTTTCAAAAAAATGGCAATAAAGACAATTGGAAGATTAGAATATATGAAAAGAACTTGAAGAATTGGATATACTAATTCATACTTGGGAAAAATTACAGATAATCCTCAATTTACAACCCAGTCACTTAAAGACTATTTACATTTATGATGGCCATGGAACAGGTATTTTATCGTGTCTTTAAAACACCCCCTGGCTGTTGTAAATGGTTGTGCTATATGCCCTCCATGGTCAAACACATTGGATGCTTGGCAAATGATCACCTTTATGACTGGTCGAAGTGTTCTGTAGTCTCATGACCACAATTTGCAATATTATTTGCCAGCTTCTACCATTTTTTTTTTTTTGGCTGGTTTCCATTTGAATGAATGGATTTCCATTTATGACTACTGTGTTTGCTTAATAACGACCACAAAAAATAAAATCCAGTTACATGGGTGCCTCAACTACCAGCAAAAGGTTGTCACAAAGAAGATGACCTGTTATGTTTTTCCCCGAATGCAAGAAGTAGAATATGACTCTTTGTTTAATTAGTAATAGTAGTTCTTTTAAAATGCTAATTAGAGCAGAGAAGTACTTCATAACATATGTTAATACGAAGGAAGCATCCTTCACTCTACCATTAAAGAAGCTGTAACCTTTGAAGAACCAAATATTTGAAGACTTGCCTGGATTTTATGTACATGCTTTGTGGCTCCACAGACAATACTTCTGCAGGGACCACCAGTGAACTCAAGCTTCTGTTGATGATCACACTCAGAGATATGAAGGCAGCTGGGGATACCCTCTGAAGTGACCACATAAGCTTTTCAAAGGACACAGCTGCTTTAACACTTTGAGAAGAGATGTTTTGTTCATCCTAATTTATTTGGTTTTAGCATTTTCACTATCTTTACCTGTGATAGAAGCTGCTTGATGCCACACAAATTATTTAGGTTATTAAAGAAATGCCTATATTATAATATTTTCAAGTTGTCCATGTGTTTATTCAGTGCGATTATAACTGTGTTTATAATAATAATAATAATAATAATAATTATAATTAGTTACAGTATATTGAAGTTTCTCCTGCCAATGCTGATTCAGATTTCATACTAGTTATAATGCTGTCGGTTTGGGGTAGTAGTTAGGGCATCAGGAGATTGTGAATTCTAGTCCTGACTTAGGCACAAAGCTGGTGTCAGTCACTTTCTTACAGCCCAAGGAAAGAGGAAATGGCAAACCACTTCTGAAAAACTTTCCAAGAAAACTACAATGACTTTCACAGGCAGTCTTTGAGAACTGGATGCCTTAATATTGAAATCCATAAAATCAGAGTAACTTTTGAACTTTCAGTTAATTCTTTCTTTTATGCAAATATTTATGATATTCCTTGAAAACAATAATTACTATAAGCAATTTTATGTAGGCATCCTTTAGCCTACATGGAAATAGTTCTACACAGATACTATATTGGATTGCTTTGTTTAAGAGAAATGAAACTTTTCTTGGTCTACATTTCATAGGCAAAATCTTTGGAGGACACCTACCGAGTCTGTCTTGTAACTTAATATGTTAGAGATGGAGTAAGAGTGTAAAATTCTTGTATCCATTAAATGACCTGTGAAAAATGGCATAGGCAGTGAAAACATTTGGCCCCGTCCTTTGTACTTCTTTATTAAAGCTGTCGGTGGTATTTTTGTTTCTCTTTTAGGAAACTCTAGGAAGAGGCTGATGTGCTCAGTATGCAATAAGAGGTGCTCTTCAGCAGCAAATCTTCAAGAGCATCGAAAGGTCAGTTGAGTGAGGGTTGACCCCCAGTAGGTCTCAACTTTTCTAGGGTAGAGGCCAGAGAGATCAGTCCCTTGAGAGCTGCTAAAACACAAATTATCCAGGTTTTTTCTCCAGCTGACAAACACAGTAGTCTGAAACCTAAGTATTTATTTTCATTACATGTTAAATCAAAGTTAAAGCAAAACACTATTCTGTATTTCTTTCCTGTCCTAGAGATAGCGATTTAGCCTTAGGTATATATTACATTTTACTTTATAGTCAGAATGCTTAAAATTATGAATAGATGGTAAATTCATAGGAATAATTTAATAGCCACTTAAAATCAAAGGATTCTTCTTTTAACAAATGTGTCTCTTGCATTATTTGTTTTACTAAATATTATTAGCACTGTTAGTCATGCACTTTAGTGCATTTATCCTACATTAAAATATTTATATTTAATTGTTCTTCAGTTGATGTACTCCCAATTATGTTTTGATAGATGCAGCTACAGATACATTTTGGAAGTTGCTTTATATATTGGAATAAATTGGAGTTATTGCTTATGTTAAAATTTTGTCTAATAACATAAATATATTAATATAATTAATATATTAATTAAATTAATATTCGACAACTGCCTGAAGCTCACTTTCTCATTTTGATTATGAGTTTTATGTGCTATTCTTTTATGTGCTATTTAGGTCAGTTGTTGCAGGTTATCATATCATATTTATGATATCCTAGCAGCTACAGTAGATATGCAGTTAATCTCAAGCAAATTTTCAATGTTCATTCCAAGACACTCAGTTCTGGAGTTTTTTTTTTTTTAATGTGTTAGATATTTTGCTTTCTGTACTTTTAAAGTGAGTGATGGATAAGATTTATATTCTTATATAAAAACTATGTTTATTTCCAGTGCAATTGGAACTTTATTGTAGACTAGTTTATCTATGTCCAGAGTGTCCATAAGGCATGAAGGTATAATCTTTTATAAACAGCTTTATACTTCATGAAATCTAAGCAACTTTATTTCAAGGCAAGTTTTTGGTCCATGTTTTATAACAGTAAGAAACAAAATATTTTTTTTCACAGATGTTGAAGTACAAAGCCAATTCCTTCATAAACTCCAAGTCTAGCCAAGTATTTAGAATTGTCTTTAAAGATCAGATCACAGTGCTTGGATTAGATAATCTTTTTAGAAGCTTATAGTATTAAGGAAAAACTATCAGCAAGTTTATGGACTATACATCAGAATTCACCAGGAAGGAGCCTGACTAAGAAATAACATTTTATGGTTCATTTACTCTTTTTCTTTACCTTTAAAATATTATTTTCTATTGTTTTATTTCCAGATCAGGAAATGTTTTTTGATTAAGTCTCACACATGCGGCTGTATCAAGCTTGTGTGTTTGCTAAGTATATATATGCGCCTCAACAGTTGGCAGCAGCCTTGACTAAAGCTGAGCAGGGTTATCCTGGGTAGTACTTAGATGTGGTGGGGAAAAAATCCCAAATGGTAGCAGGGGGATATATATTCATGTGGACAGCAGGATTCAAGATCACTTCTTGACTTTATATAGATAAGAAATCTCTTTGTGTTGATCAAATTAGTTGGATAGGACAAAACCAGATGTGACAAATATAAGCTAATAACATGTTGAAAAGTGATCTTATTGAAAAAGCATATGGAAAGAGGCATCTGATCCTCTTTTGGGTCTGATTATTTCAGACAGCTTACTTCATTCTAGACTAATTTTCAAGACTAAAATTGGGAAGAAAATCAGGTATAGCAAAAAAAGAAAAGCCACTTACTGTAGTTAAGCTTCCTCTAAAAGTAAAATCACTATTGCTACAGTACAGTATAAGTAAATAAGGTGTACATAGGAACAATAGGCCTATCTGTTTTGCTCCTTCTAAATAATAATTTATTATACAGGATATCAAGATCACATTCAGTTTTGTGACAGGAGCTTGAGTAGTGATTTGGTAAGATGTTCAGGCATGGCAGAGAAACTCAACAGTTTTCATTATGTGTTAAAACGAATGCCCCTCAGATTCAGCTAATTGATGAGAGGAGAAAAGAATTATTTTCTGCAACATTTGTACCAGTTGATCAGGTGCTCCAATTAATTTATTATAAATTGCATTTATTTGTTGCTTACTTTAAGATTTATTTTTATAATTTTGAAAAGCAGGTTGTTTATAATATAAGTGATGAAGATAACTATATATGTGCAATGTACTAAATTAATATTAAATATTCATATTGCAGGTTCATGAAATAGTTGAGTGTCAAGAATGTGACAAGAAATTTATTTCAGCTAATCAGCTAAAACGCCATATGATAACTCACTCAGGTAAAGAAGGCTTTCTTCCCTGTCAAATAAAACTGCTCAGATTATTTTAAATTGTTTTTATATTAGAATTTTCAAAAGTTGCATGGTGTTAAATGCTAAAAAACAAATACATCATAGTGCCATTATAGCCTTTCCTGGCATAACAGATTTCAGATATAATACACTACAACATATACACTACAACTTTCAGACTTCATTGGCCATACTATTTAATAATTAATTTAACAATTCTTGAATGTCATCAAATTCATTTGTAATGTGAAGATTGGAAAAGTAGAACTATCAGATAATGAATACATAGCCTAGATAACATTTTTGGGGTGCAATTCTTTTGATATGAATGCCTTGTATTTCTAAACAGTACATGTTCACATGCGACAAATAAATGTTCACATTTCTTTTGGAAAGAGTAGCTGCCTAAAATAATTGAGTGGGTAGCTGCCTAAAATAATTTAGATCCAGGGACTGGTTTTAATGGCTTTATGAGTTTAAGGCTACATATATAATTCTAATGCTTTACCATTAATTGGTTGTGCATAACCTCCTAGAAAGCAATTCTATCCCACCTATAGCTTGGACGCTTTTGCCAACATGATCACTTTTCTTAAAATTTTATAAACAACAAACCATCTGATTGTTACCTTACTAATTATCATTGCATGCAAGTGATGCAAAGATGAATTTTTAATGATAGCTATTTTTGTTGACTAACACAGGGCACAGAAGGCAAAATGCTTCTCTTATCCTTAAATCAAACCATATTTTGCATAGGCAGTAGAAATTTAATTATGTTCTGTTTCCTTTACCCCCAATTCGTTTAAACAATTTCCAGCGTTGCAAAATAGTTTTATTATTATCTGCTGTCCTCATCTCACAGCACGTTCCAGGTGCACCGGTTTAAACAACGAAGCAAAATGAATTTCAGAGACTTTTAGATGTTTATTGAGCTTACGGATTAGAATGGTATAGCAGTAAGCGTTCAGCTAACATCTGAAAGCTGAAAACTTAAACATATCGACTGAATTTTAATAGAAATGAATATGCTATGTGTATTACTAATTAAGTTTTAAAATGTTTAAATTGTCATGCCCTCTTTCTCGTTGTTAGTCTGGCAACAAGCTTTGCCTCTTTGAAGTCATTCTCTTTTGATTTAAGCTAATTAACCAGAGTTTAGTTTTTGCTGTGATTGTTGCAAAGAACGTGCCAATTTCTCAAGATGCGCCATGGCTTATATTTTGGGAAGCGACTTAACTGTATAATGTAAAGGGCATAAGATGTCTTTCTAATTGGTTTAATCTTAATTGGGTTGACTTCATTGCAGAAATCTCTGAGGAGATGAATGTTTCTGCCTTTCATCTTCTAGCCCAATATAAACAAGAGCTTAAATGTGCCCCCCACTCATTTTCTACAGAAAAACGCCCCTACACCTGCGAGGTTTGCAATAAGTCCTTCAAACGACTTGATCAAGTGACTGCACACAAAATAATACACAGTGAAGATAAACCCTATAAATGCAAGCTTTGTGGAAAGGGATTTGCCCACAGAAATGTTTACAAGAATCACAAGAAGGTAAAAACAAAAAACCCCCAAAACATTCTGCTGTTGTTGTTTACAGCTCTGCTTAGATTTGCAGCTGTTGCTCATTATCACTGATGGATCAATACGCTTTGGCATGCTTACAAACATCAGCTTTAAATCTTGCAAAATAGTAATGTTAAGTACATTAACTTATAGAACTAGCAGGTTCCTGGTTATTGTTTGGTGTTTCTTTAATTGACCCAAGTTAGTTCAGTTGGGTTGTCTTCCTCTACGAAATTCTATTCTCTCTTTTTTTAAAAAATAAACTGGAAAATTCTAGTAAAATTGTAGTCATTTTATATCATTATGGCTACTGGGAGTAACATTACAATTTGTACTCTGTTCCAGTTAAAAGAAGGAACTCTGCCCTAAAAATGTAGAGGGACTTCACTTTTTAGTCTACATTGAGACCCCCGACTGTGTGATTTAAATGACAATCTGCCTACCCTAATTTAGATAATGCCTGTCATTACTTTTGACCCCGGGGCACAGTTTCAGTGGCATGGCTGCACCCTTGACTGCTGCTGCTGCTTCTTCAGAATGGTAAGATTGTTGAGAAAGAGAGAGAGAGAGAAAGAGAAATTTCCTGCTTAGCATTTGGGATCCTTTGCTCTTTCCCTCCCCACTCCCCATGCCGCCAACACTTTGATGAAACAGATACACCAAAACTTCGACATACTTTTCACAGTTTGGCTCATGTTATATGTCATCTGGGAATTTGGCACTGAATCTTTGCACCATCTTTTGTGTTTTCATCCATAAATCATATGAAAGTAATAATAACCAAAATACTTCTTGCATGGTGAAACAATTGTAACTGTTCTTTCTAAGACAAACAAGATACAGGAATCGGGTGAAATACGCCTAGCTTACACACATATCACAATCTAACTTGAATAAATAAAACCTTTTTTAAAAAAAATGAACTTAAAAGTGATTTGTTTGTAGGGAAAGCAACTGAAATATATTCTGAAAAGTCATTTTTATTTTTATTTTCAAGAAAATCAACTCTTACATCTTAAATTGAGGACATAGATAAAAATGTCAATTCAAATGACTCAGAATAGGAAGAGAATTGAATGCAAACATTGCTGCTGAAAAGGTTTACAGATAATCTTGAGAGATTTGCAATAGTTTGTGGAAATGTATTTTCAGGTTTGAATTGTCAGCTGTGATAAATCCCCTCTGTTGAGATTCTGATCACCTAAGATTGATGTTTGTAACATTATTATATCTAATAGGTTATAGATGCACAGCTTTCCATTTATATCTCAGCTATAAAGAGGAGGCAGGTGTGTAAGAGAAAAGTAGGAAATGGGAGAAAATCACATGCATCTTCATTATAGATTGAATCTGCAGGCCAAAGGTGACAGGACTGATCTCCTTTGAGTTGATTCAATAAACTTGCATTTAGCTTCTTAAACAATCACAAATTCCACATGCTTTTTGGAGTTTATTGATAAAATTGAAGAACTCTGGATTGGAAAATACAATGAAACATTAGACAATGTTTCATGGGTGTTAGCAATATGATGCATATGTGGAATCTGGGTGGCAGAATAGGTAAAGGAAAAGGTTTAAGAAAACATATAAAACATATAAACATATAAAAAACATGCTTAGCATTGAAATCCCACTTGAATGGGATCCCTTTTTCAGAAAGTAAGCAAAGGACTCTGTATGTGCTACAAATTCAGGAGAGAAGTAATAGTAAAAATGTGAAGATTCGGAAAAATATTGCATGTATATGATAGTTTGGGTGGATGGAGAAAGCAGTATATAATTGTATCCACCAGGAATGGATGCATCTAGATATCTTTAGAAGCAATATAGTAGCTGAAATAATGTGATAGGTCCATTTCTTCATCTTATTATAAAAACCAGTTTGGTTCTCATCTGCTCAGATGATTGTCCAAAATACATGATAGATTTGATTTATACATCTCCATGAGGGCTAATGGAATATTCAACAAATTATAGAAGATGATTAGGTATTTAAACTTTAAACTGTGTCATAGATAGTCTGTGTTTCACACGAACAAGATAGGTACTATCTAACTCAGCACAGTTAAAGGATTAATGGGAAAAGAAGGTTACCATAAGCAGCATGATAAAGCTCTTCTTTCTTAGACAGATCAACCTATACAACATATGTGGCAGATGACAAATATGTCCTTCTGAGATGCAAGGAATAGCTATGTCAGGCCTTGGAAGCACTGTGTCTTACATGCTGTGTAGTCAAATGAACACAGTCTCAGTGAATATGTGGATTATGGGCCTGAAGCAGTCTACCCCAATACTCTAGGAAAATTCAAAAGGAAAGCCAGTTGCAGATGTTAACTAAGGCACCCTACTTAGAAGAGCCTTGGTAGTACAGTGGTCTAAGGAACCCTGTTATTAAGCTGGTTATTAAGACCAGCTGCCTGCAATTACTGCAGGTTCGAATCTCGCCAAGGCTCAAGGTTGACTCAGCCTTCCATCCTTTCTAAGGTAGGTAAATTGAAGACCCAGTTGTGGGGGCAATAAGCTGACTTTGTATAAATATACAAAAGGATGAAGGCTATTGCTGAGCACATTGTACGCCGCCCTGAGTCTCCGGAGAAGGGCGGCATATAAATCAAATTTAAAAAAAAGAGAAAAAAAAGATGTTCCAAGTGATGGAATTTACAAGCAGAGCTGGAAAAGTATTTCAGCAGTGGAACCTTCTATTCAACTTTCTACCTCAGGCATCACAGGTTGAAATGAATCTGGTTTAAGTTTCAATTAAAAAAAAGGATGGGCAGTCTTAATATTTGTTTTTCCGTTTTGTCATGAGTAATGAAAACAGCTTTGGTGATTAAAAATGGATAGACTGTAGCACATAGGAATGTTTAGGAAAGGGTTCCCAGTTTTTTTGGGCGGTGGAGGTATGAAATTCCTTTCCACTTCTGTCTTGTCTTGTGCATTAATACTATTTTGGGGTTAATGCTACATTTAGTGTGTCTCCTGCCTCATAACAGTGGGAAACAGCACCACTGATTTGTAGTAATCATGTCACTGCACTTAGTTAACACAAAGAGAGGCCACACACACAAAAAGGAGCTTGCACTACATGTGTTCCAGATGCCTTAGATTGCCTATTCTTGTAGTGAAAGCTTTGACAAGCAAACTCAGTTTATTTCCGGTGTGAAAAGTCTAGCTGTGAATTGAGGTGTATATCATGTTAGATAATAAGGAAAATACCTTGTTACTAGATAAGGCTATGGATCATTCTCTGCTTACTTTTTCAATACCTCAGCATGATTCTATTTTTTAAAAAATTAACTCATAAATTATTTAACTCAAAATATTTAACATTCAATGTTAAATGAAAAAACCTAAAAGCTAGTAGGGGACTGGTAGAGTTATGTTCCATTTCATTTTTCAAACAAAAAATCAAGGCTGTTTTAGTTGTCTGAAACCCAGATCTGAATCTAGACTAAAATGAGTTTATAAATACTAAAATATGATTGATCCGTGTTAAGCTTGAAAGGCTGGCAAGCTGAAAAAACAAGAACCATTTAGAATTCTGGAAAAATGTTTGTTTATTTAAATAAATATATATAGATGTCCAGTTCATGTAATGTGATTCTGGGTGGCATACAACAATACAATAAAACAATAAAATAAATAAAACAATAATTACTTATATAATTATTCTTGGTGGTGGTGCAGTGGTTAGAATGAGGTACTGCAGGCTACTTCTGCTGACTGCAGTTCAGCTGTTCAATTCTCACCAAGGTTGACTTAGCCTTCCAAGATAGATAAAATGAGGACCCAGATTGTTGGGGACAATATCCTGACTCTGTAAACCGCTTAGAGAGGACTGTAAAGCACTGTGAAGTGGTATATAAGTCTAAGTGCTCTTGCTTTTGCTATTAAGGGCATCTAAAATGATAAAAGTAGAACCAAACTAGTAAATGAAAATAATGGACGAAGGGATGTAAATAATAATGGATCCACCTCTTGAGTTCAACCAGCCCCTGAATCTCCAGGCTGACATAACCAGGTCTTGAAGGATGTTCAAAAGTTCAAGAGTGATGAGACTGACCTCACCTTTGGAGGAGAGATGATTCCATAACCTGTAGAAAAGGCTGCTTGCTTAGGGCCATTAAATGTACAGTAGCTCTCTAAATGATGTAAATTTTGAAAACTTCTCAAAGTAATTTTCTTGCACATCTTAAACCTAAATTGGTCTGTTGTAATATGTCCTGTGCAAGGAATTGTGATATAGTATGTCCTGGTCTGCTACATTGGTGCAGAAATATGCAGTGAAACAAAGAGAAGGGAATATTAGTAAAGTTAAAAAAAAACACAGAATATTAGCTAGAAAGACAGAGAATGGTTGTCCCACAAACTTTTGAATCTAGCCCCAACATAGAAATGCAGACCCCACCATTATTACCAAGGAACTATAGCTCTTATTTTATTGATTTGAAACTTACATAATAACTCAGCTTTGCTGGGAATAGTAATTATCAAGATTGTGTGTAGCTTTTCTTTCTGCTGTTAAAGAGCTATATGTATTTTGGCAAATATATAGAATTAGCATCTTTTTAAACATTATTCCAATTTTTTAGTGGCCTGCAGTATAAAGGTTGTTAAATCTAAATTGCCTCTGGTAATGTCTTCTGTTATTTTTACAATGCTTATATCAGTAGTTTCGAACTAAATAGGCCATCAAAATCTGTTAAATGGTACAGCAAAGGGAATATTGGCAACTAAGCAGAATAAATAAATACATAAATAAACAGAATAAACTAAAGCTGGTTTGTTTGAAGGGTGATATGCTAAATTAACAGTTTTGTATGCAATTTTTGTATCCAAGACTAAATATTCCATTTTGAAATCTATGTTTTCTTGCACATATTTCACCAAACTACATCTTAGGTAATGTTTGTGTTACTATTTCAATCATTTCTTGACCTAAGAGTCAAATCAGAGATTCTTAATCAACTGAATGAATGTTCTGTACTTAGCATACTTAGCATTATACTAAATAAGCATATTTTTTAAAAAAATAAAAATCCAGAAGTTGTTTAAGGAGTTCAAAACTCAGGATAGCTACTCACCTAAGTAAAATCCTAAGCTTTTATTAAATGGGGGGGGGGATTTTTCACTCATGCATGTGCCAGATGTACAGCCCTAGAGACTGAACCCTTATATTTATCCACAGAACAGGTACAGCACAATCAGCAGCAGTGCAAGCTTCCCCACAGCAAAGTCTCATCCAAATGTCTCAGCCCTGTTCTGGAGGATACATCAGTTGAGGTGAGAAGGTAGCTCAGTCTCTTTCTACTGAGGCATTAATGGCTTTTCCTAGCAGCAACCCTATTATTGATGCAGACTTTGCATAAAAGCATCCAGAGCTTTTTTACAAACTGCTTCCAGAAAAAGTCCAACATCACTGTTGACATAATGTTTGCCTATGTAATTGAGGGACAACTTGGAAACACAGCCCAATGCACTTTCTGCATCAGACGTTTCCAAGTCACTTCCAAACATTAGCAGAAAATATCAGCTGAGAAGAATGGGGTACCTGTTTTGGCTGGTCTCCTGATTCAATCCAGAAGGCTGACAAACCAATCAATCTCACGATTCTTCTCAGAAATTATGATCCTTTCATTGCAGGTGAGCTATCAGGATTAGGGCTGATTCCTGACTGGCTGTAAATTAAGAATGTCATGCTTTCTTTTAAAAAATTGAGCAGAAGACCTGCCCTGTCCTCCTTTTTCCCCCCCCTCACTTCTGGAGAAACATGGAACCTTTAAAAAACTAAAACAGTATCTTTTGATCTGAGCAAATCTCCAGATCAGGGATCTCCAACCTTGACAACTTTATGACTTGTGGACTTCAACTTCCAGAATTCCTCAGCCAGCATGCACATGTGCTGGCTGAAGAATTCTGGGAATTGAAGTCCACAAGTCATAAAGTTGCCAAGGTTGGAGACCCCTGCTCCAGATATGTTACCGTGTTTCCACGAAAATAAGACCCTGTTTTATATTTCTTTTGAACCCTGAAATAAGTGTTTGGCCTTATTGCCATGCGCTCAAAAGCCTGATTGAGCTTATTATCAGGGGATGTTTTATTTTGGGAGAAAAAGGGTAATACATTGCTCAGAATACTTATCATGCATGCTTATTGGGGAATAAGAGAAGAAAGAAAGAGTTTTCTGATAAGACGTTGTGAATACACACGAAGTGGAGTTGTGGATATAGAAGAAAAACACAGTAACAAAGAAATTTGAGAAAGTGCATCCTTGTGTGTATCTTGCCTAGAGTTTTTTCAGCCTGAACAGAGAGTATCATTTGCAGTTGAGGGCAGGTGGCCAGGTCTTGTCTTCTTCTAAAACAGGGCCCTCAATCTGTTTTAGATAAGGAGCACCGCTGACATTTTAATGGCATATTAATTATGGGAGGGAGGGTGTTCATTCTCAAAATGATTATGAAGAAGGATGAAGCCAGTGACAAAATACTACCTTTTATTTTGCTTATTATTTAAAATTAAATAATAATATATAAGATAAACATAATGTTTTCCTGCTATACTGCCAGGCCTTTTATAATAACAAAATCAACCCCTATCTTACTGCTATTGGTGGATCTTTTTCTTTTTCTGCTGCTGGTGATTTACAAAGCCCTGGATTGCACCCATTTTTTTTATTCTCTAAAAATTCCTATTAGCCTATGAAGAATTCACAAATGTTCTTGGAAATAATATTGATACTGAAGCATAAAAAAGCAGCACTGGAATTTAAAAGTTGCAAGGTTGGACAAGGACCTGATAGATGTTCATAATATTCACTGGCACCTTCCCAACTGGCTTTGCTTTGGCTTTGCTTTGTTGTGCCTCTTCTTTTTTACTCATTCTCAGTCTCGATGAAGAAAAAACTCCTTTTATTTGGCAGCTTTTTGTCTCTTGCTGCAGAGCTTCCAAAATCCATACATCTTCTCCCCCGTGTGTTTCAAGGTTGCATCTTTTATAAGAAATTGTGTTGTGCTAACACAGGGGGAGAAGTCTCAAATAGGGCAGAAAGGCAGCATAAGGGCCTCAGTGGTGGGTTTCAAATTTTTTTACTACTGGTTCTGTGGGTGTGGGTTGGTGAGTGTGGCATGGCTTGGTGGGCGTGGCTTGGTGGGCATGGCAGGGGAAGGATACTGTAAAATCTCCATTCTTTCCCCAATCCAGGGGAAGGTTACTGCAAAATCCCCATTTCTTCCCAATCAGCTGGGACTCGGGAGGCAGAGAATGGATGGGGGCAGGGCCAGTCAGAAGTGGTATTTACCGGTTTTCCAAACTACTCAAAATTTCGGCTACCGTTTCTCCAGAACTGGTCAGAACCTGCTGAAACCCACCTTTGAAGGGCCTGCAATTTTCTCAGTAGCCTGCTCTTCCACAGTGATGAATGGTCTCAGGAAGGCTTCTAGATTCATTCAAATATAAATGTTTGTCCAGTGCACTGTATATTTACAGTCTGTATTCCTGAAACTAATCTGGATAAGTCTTAATTGACAATAGGAAGATATTTGTTGCATAATCCATGGGCAGATAGATATTAGGGGTGAAATGATCTGCCAGAACTGCCTTTTAAAAGACCTTTCAGTATATTTATTAAGAATTCCAATTTTGGAACACCAAAAGCAACGTTAAACTTTTACTTATGAAGAGAGCTGTTATGATTCATTTCTTGATGCTATTCAAGTGTTGCTCCTTCTGTATATAGTTGTAATGTGTTAGGAATCCTAAAGCCTGCAGTCAGATTTGGAGACTTGCAACCTTCTCAATACTTATAGGAATATGACTGACTGAGATTCAAGGCATGGCATTTTTAGTCTTTATGTTACAAAAATATGTCTCTAGAGAGGTTTATTTGATTCCATGTCTCTTAGGCTTCAGCTGAGCTGGTAAGCATTATTGCATCATCAAGTTTTAAAGAATTTTTTTTGAAAGAGGGGTTTCCTATAAGCGAATTCACTAATAATAGAAACCATATTTACCCAGTTTCAATTTAGTCAACTTGTCTCTGAGATCTGCTACATAGGCTTGAAGAATCCAGTAGAAAAATGGGAAATGTTGTTTATTTCTGTAATGGTAGATAAAAATCCTTTCATAAAGAGAATTTCTTCTTCTTATGATTCCATAAATTTGAGGAGAAGGAGCTGTGATGGTGCGGTGGTTAGAATGCATTATTTCAAGTTAACTCAGCCCACATCCAGGAGTTCAATCCTGATTGGCTCAAGGTTGACTCAGCCTTCCAACATTCCAAGGTCGATTGTTGGGGGACAATATGCTGAACTTGTAAACCTCTCAGAGAGTGCTGCAAAGCATTATGGAGCAGTATATAATAGTGGTGAAATCCAAATTTTTTTACTACCAGTTCTGTGGGCGTGGCTTGGTGGGCGTGGTGTGGCTTGGTGGGCATGGCAGGGGAAGGATACTGCAAAAACCCCAATAGCTATTGCTATTGTCTACTGATATTTTAATGCAATTAAGCTTTAGCAGCTTGATATCATTAAACATTTTTTTTATTTTTTGGACCAGACCATTTTTCTTCATTTTAGTTAGACATAAATAAGGTCTGTCTGTAGATACATCTGTAAGAATGAATCAAATAGGGAAAAGCTTTTGCCCCAAAGTCGGGCACTGTATTTAGCTTGGGAACTTCAGATAATCATTTAAAGATAATAGAAAGCTATCTTGAAAATGCAAAGGCAGACTTTATAGGTGCAAGCTGAGGTCATAGGCAGGACCTTCAAAAATATGTTCTTTTCTCACTTCTATTTAATTGCTTTTCACAGTTTTTCTTCTTATTTGCTTATTTATATTTTCATTTTTAACATTGCTTTTCAAGATAAGTAAATTCAGTATATACTAACTGCACATGGTTCCTTTAACTTTTAAATCCTTTAATGTTGAAGTATTCTATTAATACATGGAATGTCTTAAAAAAATAAGAAAAAGAGTATTTTGTGACATACACATTTATCACATACTTTAGAGGTAGCACATGGGACTCCGTTCCTCCAAACATTCCAATTTTAGTGCCAAATAACGTTTAATTTGTGAGATAAAAAATTCATCCTAAATTATTCAACATTTTAGAAGGCAGGTTAAACTATTAACTAAAATTTAGTAATGTTATTCATTATGTGAATATCTATAATATTTAGAAGACCTTTGAGATTTGGCATTTTATGAAACACCAAACAAAACCTATGGTGAAGTTTATGGACTTTTTATGGACTCTGATGTATAATTCACTTATATTTATTTATTAGATTTATCTACTCAAGTTATTAACGTTTCATTTTTGAAGCATGCGGAATCAAACTTTTTGTTTTTGTTTGATAGAATAAAACACTATCTGTTTGGACTGCAATCAGCAAACTTAGCCATAGTTATATATGTTCTTTATCTACAGACACATTCTGAAGAAAGACCATTTCAGTGTGAGGAGTGCAAAGCTCTATTCCGAACGCCATTCTCTCTACAAAGACATCTTCTGATTCATAATAGTGAGTAGAAATATAGATGATAAAGAGATTTACATATCATTGTACTTGCAAGAATAATGCATTCTTAACTTTCTGATCTAACAAAACATCTTTATTATATTAGAATTTTATATAAAATGTATACTGACTTTATATACACACATCCACACAGAATTGTACCTATGAACATGCTAAATAAAATATAAATAGTAAAATTAAATTAATATGAAATCTGCACTTAGTCTGTAAGTTAAGGATTCATTGCATTTATTTGGTTAAGTAGAAAAATGGTCTTTAATAGATGAATATAATGTAGACAATAAATATAATTATTTTCAGGAGGCTTTGCAACAAATATAATATTCAAGTTTTTAATGTTTAATGTTCTGATTATTTTATATTGCTTTTTTAATGATGCTATAACCTTCCCAGTCAGTCAGCAGTGAGATGGGTGTCATAAATCTAGTTAAACAAATAAAATAGGGCAAGTTTCAGAAATTATTGATTTTTTTAGTGCTCAAAATTATCTAACCTGAATAGTAAGCTCTTTGGATTGCTATTTAACCTAGAATGATGAGGTTTGTTCCTTTATAATTTCTCTTAATAAACATGTTGGTAAGTTGTTGACTTGAAAATAAGTTGTCGAGGTAAAAAATACCTGTTTTGACCAATTATGTAGAACTTTTCAAGAAATGAATTTTTCTTTACTATAAATTATTGGCAATTGCTCGCATAAGTTTGTAAACAACTGGGATTCATATAATGAATGGTGATGCACACACACACAAATTTTGTTGCAAAGAAAATGTTTATGATGAAAATACTGCATAATATGGTAAAATTATTTTATCATCACATTCAGTTTTGATTTTATATATAAAGTATAACTTTTTATTGGCAAATATCTGATTATATTCCTCTACTATAAAATTCATTACATGCAGTAAGGTTCTATTGTTGTTACTTGGTAGTTGTTTCTCTAGTTACAAGATATTGTAAGTTAAGGACAGATAGTTCTTAACTTACCATTGTAACTGAGCCTGGAATTATAGTCATAATTATAGTCATAAGCAAATGCATACGCTCAACTTCAAAAATCAGCTTGTGGCAATAAAAAAAATATTCCCTCAACAACACAAGGCAGTCACATTGGTTCGTAGAGCAAGGAGTCTGCAGTAATAATTTTTAGCAGTACTGTAGCTGCAATGGAAGACAAGAACCCATGTTGCATAATAATCACCAGCTCTTATGTCTTTAGATTTACCATTATTATGTGGCCTAGTGTGATTGGGAAAAATTTCAATAAATACATTCAAACTTCTATTTAACCAAGAAATAAGAGAGTGGCTTCTTTCAGCCAAAGAATTGAGTGAGCAGAATTTATTGATTTATTTATAATATTCAATAGGTAGTATTAACATTTTTTTGTCTTAGGTGAAAGAACATTTAAGTGTGATCACTGTGATGCTACATTCAAACGGAAGGATACTTTGAATGTTCACATACAAGTTGTTCATGATGGCCATAAGAAATATAAATGTGATCTGTGTGACAAAGCCTTTGTAACACCATCTGTTTTAAAGAGCCATAAAAAAGTAAGTATAATGAAAAAATAACTTCATAAAAGTAATAGAATAACGTGACAATAGGTTTATTGCACAAAGTTTATTTTAAATAATTCACATTTAATGTACAAATGTACATTAACGTACAAAGAAGACAATGCTTTCACTTTTTCTTTCAACCAATAATTATAAATAAAAAGAATTAGGGAGAACTATAAAGATAGTATAGTCATTGAAATGAATAAAAAGCTTCATAACATTTCTGTAACATACATTTCACTTTGGCTACTAGTTAAAGGTGGTAGAAATTGAAAAGCTTGGTTAATTGATGTTCTCTTTCCCCATGAACTACAGCTTCATCCCTAAAAGGTTTTGCATAAAATTGGAAATATTTTCCAGAAGCTCATGTATGTTGGCCACACAGCAACCTCTTTTTTTTCTAATGATTTTTTTTATTCACAAAAAGTTAAAATACAAAACTCTGAAAAAGAAAAAAAAATTACAAATGAAGTTGAATATTCGTGTCCCAGGATAACGTTGCAGGATCCAATCTGGGCCAGTCATCGGGACTAGAGGTTTTGTCTGACTAGAGGCTTTCAGACTCATGCTGGAGCCCTTCTTCAGGGAACTTCTCTTTAGCAGAATGTGTGCTTTGGGCTAATCTCTGTGTGGTTTTTATAGTGCCTGTTCTATGTGGCTTTTTAGATGTTGATTGGGGTATGTTGATGGCTGGCTTTTAAGTCGTTGGTTGTCATTTGCGGTGCTGCTCAGCCGTCACCTTTAAAGTACTTGATGGGCTGGTGGTAACTGTTGACTCCCAGGTTTCAATCACTTCTCTGGCTGTTTTTGTGCTTGCTCATCCAACAATCTTAGTAACTGCAAAATTGAATGTGTTTCCTTGTTCATTGCATGGTGAATTTGGGTTTCCTCGCCTGATCGCTTGCTTGTGTTCTTACAATCTGGTGGTTAGCTTCCTCCCAGTCTATCCTACATAGTCACAGGGACAATCCATGCAGGGAATTCAATAGATTTCATTGGAAGTATCTCCTAACTCCAAGCAATCTTTACAATGCATAATTTGTCCTTGTATGCCCACTTGCAGATCCACATACAATAGGCACTACAAATACCATGCACGAACAGCACACAATCTGCTAGAGAGAAGATGGGCTTCAGCACAAGTCTAAAAGCTTGGAAGACAAAATCTCTGATCCCGAATTGGATCCTGCAAGAAAAAATTCATAGAAACAAACTAGAAACAAAACAAAACAAAACTTTTAAAAGTGCATTAAAAAAAGACACAACACATAACACATATTATCCTCCCTAGCTGAGTACTGATAAATATATTACAAAATATTAGTTTCTAACCCCTTGCAAAACAGGCCTGAAAAAAATTCAAACTTCTAATTCTGTTTACAAATTATTAACCTGTCATCTATCTATTATATTAATGGCAAAATAGTTAACATATAGAACAACCAACAAACAAAAAGGCAAGAGTAGAGTATTAAAGCCCTCTGTTAACAAACTATTATTATAGTCAACTTGTAGAAAGTTATCTATCCCAAATTATCCCAACAGTTAACTCTGACTCATCCTGGATCAAATATCCACAAGTGTTTCTTAATACCATGTATTATCAATTGTTGTCTGATTAAATATAATAGATCCATTCTCCAAAATTGATCTGTATTCCCCAAAAGGTCCACTTAAGTTGTTTTTGAGTTGAGGATGATAAATCCATTCCCAATCTCTTTCAATCTTCTTAGGGGAAACCATTACTTATCATTCAGTCAGTTTTTTGTGGTTGTAAAGGAATGCAAGCCTGAACTTCAGGAAGGTATCATAATCTTTTGTCAATTCTAAGTCTGTAACAACCATATCTTTTTCTGTCTCCTTCATTGAATCTACCACTTTCAAATAAAATTCCTGTCAGATGTAAATGCCTTATTCTCCAATGTGTAAATAATGTATATATGGAACATCAGAGGTTAACTTATTCTTTGGACTTTAATGTATTCATAACTTACCACTCCCATTCCTAGCTCCACCCCTTGTATATATAAGGAGCCACCCTCACCATTCTCGTTGCTTCTACCTCGATATTCAGTGAATATAGAATGCCTATCATAATTAAAAAGAAATATATTTAAAGCTTTAACTTCTATTATCTTTATTGAGTATGATCTGAAAAATATATTGCAACAAGCTGGTAGCAGAGGATGGTTAATTGACTCAATAAGTAATTAAAAATGTCCAAGAAAGATAGGCCCAACACAGGGCCTACAGCAAAGAAATAGAAACTGATCAACGAATCCACCATGCGATTTCGAGAGAATCCGAAGAATACACCACTGAAGAAGAAGAACTAAAGAGTGAAATAATGACAGAAAGAAATCGAAATAGAAAATAACGAACTCAGGTCAGAGATATTAAAGTACTAAAAGCCAAAAAGAATGATGAAAGTCTCATCGCGGACCTCCAGGAGATGCTGAAGAACAGGGAGCAGCGAGAGAGAAAAACGTCATTAAAGAAAAAACCCAAAGATCAAAAAATTTTAAGTGAGATGACTACTGAGAAAATAGTTGTTAAAAAGAAAAGATGTGATCCCGCGCGAAATTTTGAATGGCAGCCATCTTGGTTTCAACGAACTTCAAAAGAGAATGGAGCAGAGCCAATCAAAACGCTCAGTTCAAAATTTCTGGCGCGAAAAACACTATCAGACAGAGAAGAAAGTGAGAGAAGAAGTCTCAAACTCTTCAGATGATCCAAAATCAGAAAGTGAAGACGATTTAACAAAATCTCAAGTAAAATCAGCAATGAAAACGCTTTTTGCTGCTTTTGGGCCAAGATGAAAATTACCAAGACATCTACGAAGAAGCAAGAAATCAAACCGGCGACTCAAGACCTGCACGCTCCCATCCTGACTTCGAAAGCGACGACGCCCGAGCCCAGAGAGCCATGCCGATTTCGCCCTACACCACAGACTAAATCGAATACCAACGCACACAAAAAGAAGAAAAGAACCGTCACCACCACCAGAACCCCAAAAACCGAGCCAGAGACCGACTCATCTGAGGAGGAGCGGATCGAGAGAGCTGAAAGGGAGAGAACCTTCCACGACGCCACCAAAGAAGAAATGAAACAACGCGCATGTGCGAAACTACGTAGCGAACCCAGAAGGACTTGAATGGCCAGAGAAACCGCGCAGACTCATTGCAAGCATCCCAATGCCGTTCTGTAATTTGCCTGCACTTGAGAGATCACGGACTGCCCCAGGTTGTAAGTAATGGACAGAATAATGTAGGTAATTACCAGTGACTTCCCAAAACTTAGAATTGATGGCATTATTTACAAGAGTGGTATCAACAGCTTCAGGTTATTTTCATGAAAGAAATTTACTATTCTTTATAACTAGCCCTCCAAGAAGACCTTGGACTTTAAAAATAGATTGTTTACATCACCATAGAGCATTTTTCATAATAATATCTAGCGTGTCTCCTGCAATGTATCATAGCATCAAACCAAACCTAACTGTATCAGAAATAATTCAATGCTTGTTAAATCTATTTCACAGCGATAGCGTAGCTACAACCACAAGAATGTCTAAGGATTTCTTTTCCTCTAGAGTAAAACCAGGGGTTTCTATAAGTGAGCATTTGATAATCTAAACAAAATAAGAGCTGAGCTACAATTGAGGGGGGAAGTGATTTCAGATCAAACAATGAAAAGTGTTATTATCAATTCACTTGATCCATCATTGGGATAGCTTTATGTCACACTTAGATACCATTAATTTGGGATATTTATCCATAGAAAGTCTATCTAACAAATTGATAGCAGAAGACAATTCAGAAAAAATCGATCCAGTAACCAAACAGACCACAAAATTTTAGGAAAGTAGTCTTTCAAGATAAACATAATGAGGCCTTTAGATGCTACAATTGTGGATCCAGGGAACATAGTAGAAGAGACTGCCCCAAAGTCTCAAGAGAGAGACCATAGACCAGAATATAGGACACAAATTTAATTACAGACAATCTTCACAGATAGACACAAATATAGAAGCCCACCAAATTACAAAGAAGGTAGAGGGGGTAGAGAAAATTCAAAAAGAGAGGAAATCTGGGTCACTGAATGGGCTAAATAAACAAGACAGCACCAGAAACACAGCTGGATGAGAATAACAATTGGCTTATTGACTCTGGTGCAACAAATCACACCACAACAACAAAAGTATATTATCTTCATTTATAAAGATAAGTTTGTGATAAAGGTAGCTAATCAAGAAAAGGTTCAAGTACTAGGCAAAGGAAATGTGACCTTGCCTGGTCTAGGGAAATAGAGGGGGTATTATTAATCCCAGATATACCTCACAACATTACTAAGTGCCATAAAATTAAGCAGAGAATCTGATATCATATAGTTTTCTCAAAGGGGAGAAAGCAACTATAGAAAAGAACAAAACAAATGTAGGTACTGTAATGATAAAAGGAGGTCTACCCTATCTGATAACTAAAGAAAGATGTTTACATAACATTGATTCAAAATATGGAAGATTGTATTGAAGCAGATGATGAAAATGTCAGTAACAGTGACAATGATGAGTGTAGAATATAATCATGATCACAAAAAACACATACAAGGAAAAGAAACCAAAAATAGGTAAAACCAATTCATGATGAGTGTGCTCACATCTTACACAGGAAGTTAGGACATGCAAGCTTTCCTGTAGTACAAAAAATGACTGAACACGCAGAAGGTAGTCAAAATAAAATTGTGAATATTATTTGGAATGCTCAGTATGTAAGTCCACCAAACTAAAAACCAGTCCCAGACCAAAAAAAATCTAACAGATCAACTAACAATATTTTTGATTTGGTACATATGGACTTAGTTGGTCCATTAAGTCCCTCAATTACCTATAGAAACGTTACTTCCTAACAATAGTGGATGACTACAGCCGATATGGTTTTGTTTACACATTAAAGCACAAGGATGAAACATTTCAGAAATTTAAGGAATTCTACAAACGTATAGAAACACAACATATATCAGATAAAGCAAATTATGGACAGATAGGGGATGTGAGTTCATGTCTAAAGAATTCTCCCATTGGTTAAGGATAGAGGAATGTTACATTTCACGTCCAATCCTTTTTCTGCATTTCAAAATGGAGTTGCAGAGAGGAAAAATTCCACACTACAAACCATGATTAGGTGCACATTAGAGGATGCTGGTTTAGGCAAACAATTTTGGTCAGAGGCATTACATTATTCGAATTACACTCAAAATAGAACCTGGTCCAGTATTGTGAATAAGACACCATATGAGGTGATGTACAATAGAAAACCCAAAATTATCACACATGCACGCACATATTTGGAGTCACTGCAGACGTACACATACCTAAACAATTGAGGAGAAAGGGAGGAAAACGTATCCAGGAGATTAAGATTCATGGGATACGAACTGGAACCAAAGGGTACAGATTTATTGATAGTAATAACAAATTTATAGTATCCAGAACAGCTGTGTTCCATGAACAGGCCAATTGGTCAAAATTGCACCTTAATGAAATATTTCCTAATAAATGTAAGATCGATACGATATCTTGTGAGGAAGGAACAACAGAAAATCAAAATATTAACAAAAGTAAGAACAAAACCAAAATTGGACTAATAGTCAGCATAAAATAAAGACAGACACATTAACAAAAAAGGAAGCTAGATATTTGCATGATAACCATAGCAAGCCTGAAAGAACTATTAGAAACAATAGAAACCAAATACCAAATAAATACAAAGATTACATAATGCATATGAATGTGGAGAACAAGTAACACCTAATACATATGAAGAAGTATTGAAACTTCCACATGAAGAAAGAGAAAAATGGGAACTAGCTATGGAAAAAGAGATGGAAAGTTTACAAGGATTAAATGTATTCACACCTGCGATCGCACCTAAGGATTAAAACAATTATAGGTACCAGGTGGATTTATAAAATTAAGAACTTAGAAGGATGGGCAATACCTTATACAAGGCTAGACTAGTTGCACAAGGATATGCACAAAAATATCCAGAAGACTATACTGATACATATTCACCCACAGTGAGAACAGAGAGTGTCAAAAACAGCCCTGTGTAGTAGATCTGCACTCAATCTGGACGTTATCCAATATGACATACAGACGCATACTTACATGCAAAATTAGATAAGGAAATATTTGTAAGAGCACCACACAGTCAATACACTAATAAGAACGAAATTTGGTTATTAAATAAGAGTCTGTACGGATTAAAGCAATCGGCAAAAGATGGTATACGATTGCTTGGTAAAAGTACTTAAGGACCATGGATTTCAACGCCACCACTGCTGATAACTGTTTCTTGTAAAAAAGAGTAATGATCATATTGAATTTGTATTAATTTACGTGGACGATATTTTATACATTGGATAAGCATAAAGAGAGCAGGGAAATCTTTGTAAATAAGTTAAATGAACACTTCTCACTGAAATCTCTGGGTAAAGTGATTAAATACCTTGGTGTGCAAATTAACAAAACTAAAAGGGGATTCAAACTTACACAGAAAGATAAAATCATCGAACTCCTAAACAAATGTAACTTAAATAATGCTAAAACCTGTGACACCCCTATGCAAACTGATTTTCTTAGAAAACACTGATGAATCTTCCCCTGAGTTTAAAGACAACACATTTTACAGATCAGTTATAGGTTCACTCCTTTATTTATTAAATTGGACTAGGCCAGATATTGCATTACCTCTCAATCTATTGTCAAGATATGTTAGTAAACCAACCTTGTATCATTGGGAAGCTGTCAAAAGAATTCTAAGATATCTTGAAGGGTACATTAGATTTTTGTGTTTAATGTTTGGAACCCAATAATGACAGAGAACCAAAAATTACTTGTTATGCTGATGCAGATTGGGATGGTGATACAACATGCAGAAAAAGTACTTCTGGTTATGTTTTTCTATTGAATGATTGTCCAGTTTACTGGTATACTGGTAAACAAGAACTAGTAGCCACTTCTACTACAGAAGCGGAATATGTTTTGTTTGTCCAAAGCTGCAAATAACCTTGTATGGTTCAATGATCTGAATCACTGATGTTTGAAGAAACCCACCTTACCATTTCTTATGCATTGAAGACAATAATGCGGCCATTGAAATATCAAGATCCGATGCAATTGGACAAAGGTCCAGGCATATTGATATAAAGTTTAAGCATGTGAGACAACTGTCTCAAGACGGATTCATTAAAGCAATACATTGCGATACTTCTGAACAATTAGCTGACATATTAACAAAACCCTTACTACCTTCTCAAACACACAATATTTAACTTCTAAATTATATGTATTATATTGTCCTGAATCAGAAATGTAATTGGTGTTGTGTAACGAACCGGCATATTAGAGGGGGATTTGTCAGATGTAAATGCCTTATTCTCCAATGTGTAAATAATGTATATATGGAACATCAGAGGTTAACTTATTCTTTGGACTTTAATGTATTCATAACTTACCACTCCCATTCCTAGCTCCACCCCTTGTATATATAAGGAGCACCCCCTCACCATTCTCGTTGCTTCTACCTCGAATATTCAGTGAATATAGAATGCCTATCATAATTAAAAAGAAATATATTTAAAGCTTTAACTTCTATTATCTTTATTGAGTCTGATCCTGAAAATATTGCAACAATTCCTTTGTTGTATCTGATTTAACTCTAGTTACTTGTATTTGGACCTTTTTGCAACCTTTATTATTTTGTCAAACAACTTGGTTTGCATATTACCAAATGGTCGCACACCAACTCCTTTTGCTGATCACGTGAGTTGGCACATTTCCCTTTTAATATGGCCCAGTCATGTGGAAATAATCTATGTATATGTATGTCAGCATCCACTGGACGTTTGTTATGGAGTTGCAGCAGCTTCACTAGAGATCTGGCAAAGGCTGTTTGAATGTTGTTTTTATAATCAAAGTTGCTAAATGCACTTGATCAGAATGGGATTTAATACATAGTTCAGTTATAGAACTGAATAGTTCTATAACTATTCAGTTATAGTTGCTTCAAATGCAACTATGAATTGATACTTCTTTATGTTTTGCTTATGCTTGGTTCTAACTTATTTTTCAAAAGTACACTTTTTAATTTTGTTATTATGTGTTTGAAAAGAATATAAGAAAGAGACAATACAAACCATGCGAAAAATATTAGAACAAATATGTTGTTGTAATATTGTTCAAACATATTAGAAAAATATGTTTTCTAATTCAAATTGATTTAAGAATACACCCAAATAGAAGTCCTACTGCTGCTAGTTTATAGACTCTTGGTTATCATATAATAATAAAAAGTGTTTCAAAAGTTGAAAAAAAGTCAAGAAAGTAGTTATTAAAGTAAAGGTTCATGTTTAAATGCTACAAACATTTTGACATCCCAGTAAGCATTAATTTAATTTTTATGAACCAAAATGTGCAATAAAAGCCTCGTTTGATTGGCCAACTAGATAATACGGTTTACTTTTCAAAGAAAAGTCATATTGGTTTAGGAATTTTTATATTGTTGCAAGGTGAAACTTATTTAATTTTTAATACTTTTAAAATCAAATTTTAATAGCATAGTGTACCTACCATGTGACGTAGATGAAGAATAAAATGTAAAAATGAAGAATTAATTTTGCTTCCTTTTGTAAACAAATTAAATATTTATATTTCTCCTTTATAGACTCACACAGGTGAAAAAGAGAAGATTTGTCCATACTGTGGGCAGAAGTTTGCAAGTAATGGAACTCTGAGAGTGCATATTCGAAGTCACACAGGTACAGCATGCTCAATCCTTAGTACCCCTTTTTTCTGAACTGAGCCAATCCCTTATTTTGTATCAGACTATACTCGAGGGTTTTTTTTTTGCAAAAAGTTTTTTTATTTTTTTCCACACATACAAATTATATCCTTTCGGATGTACTTTTGTGTTATTGATGCATGTCTTTCATATCTGTCATCCATGCACAAATATGAGGTTTTGCCTATGTTTAAGATAAAATTATTTCATTCCACAGCACCCTTTTCCCATTAATATTATAAAACTGTAAAAATTAGTAGATATTAAAATGTTGAATTACTGAGTTCAGTTAGTCACAGTACAATTTTATATGTTGTAAAATAGATTTTTCTGATCTTATTACTTTAGTAAAAACCGAAAGGTAATATTTCCTCCATTTTTTTTCTGAGGAATATATGTAGTCTATAAAAATGCTGTCGTTATAACAAGCCAAAGCACTTTATGACTTCTGCATTCCTAACCTATTTGGGTTATTTATCATTGTCTAATTTATCACTCCATGACAGTTAAATCTTCAAAAGTATCTGTAAAGTTTCAGGAAACTGTCAGCCTCCTGTTAGTTTGCTACTAGTGGTAGGAGAGATTCATACTGTCAAAAAAAAATCTTGCTTTATTGCCAGTGTCTTCTTTAGATCAATGAATAACAACACCTAATAGGTTGATGATTGGGAGGAACTATAAAAAGAACTCACACTTCATATGGATCAAATATTCTAATGCTTTATGTGTGCAACTGATTTCTGTCCTTCAAATATACAAGAGCACAAACCAACATAGAAATATGCTTTTGTTAATACTTTTTAGTAACCATATACTGTTTTATAATATATCCCAAAATACAACTTTGGCTCTTAATCTAAACAGGTAGTATGAAAATAAATATTTGATTTTTAAATAAATATGCATTTGATGGGGTCCCAAGTGTATTCCTAGCTCCATCAAGTTTCATTGCTCTTTATTTCTTTAAAGTCTTTCTCAACAAAGCGGTATGATTTATACCATGGTAAATAGTGAGTCTTGCACTGGACCATGTTTGCCTTACAGTCGATTTTATTATATCGCTTATTGCTGTACTCCCAGGTTTCATTGTTACACCACACACTTGATACCTCTTTTTAATGCATCTAAACACCAATACTCTGCAAATTCTTGAGCTCTAATACCTACACTTTCTAAACCTGTGTTCTAAGCCAAAAATCCATTTAAGACTCATTAGTTAACTGGAATTGATTTTAGATTATTTATAATGGGCTTGTAAATATTGTCTTAATTGAATATTATTATATTTTCCACTAATCATTTTATAATCACTGTTTGCATAATGGACACCAATTCCTTACCTGAATGTTATTCCACTGACCTGTTTTATAATAGCAAATGTTATGTCTCATTTTTTTGTATTCCACATCACCTATACTCTTGCTATTTCTAGGATAAACAATGTAGGAAATTATTAGATAGCTGGGCTAAGCAATAGTATAATTAGAATGCACACAACACAAAGTACAGTAATAGATTATAATCATTTGTTTACATTACAATTTTATGCTTTTTTAAAACTTAACTATGAAAATAGCTGTTGTCTAAATTGAAGAGGATAAACTTGTTCATTTGTTATTTTTCTTCTCTCTCTCTCTCTTAAAAAAATATACCATATGTTATTTAGCAAATTTCTTCATCATTGTAACAGAAGCTCCATTAGTTTAATTGACTTTTCTAATCTCTTTGAATGTATCTTCATAGTTCATAATGTTATTTGCTTTTCCTTTAATCATGCTGCCTGTTGTGATTGCCGGTCACTGTTGTCATCGATCACACTATCTCTGCTTAGAAAAACCCTCTTCAACTTCTTTTGTGAACTGCTGCATTGATCATCTGGCAGGAAGCATTGAATGTGCAATCCAGATGGCTTCTTGTCAGTCTCACCTCTCATGACCTCATGCCCAATAAAATTATCTTGATTTTGCAAATAAGGCGAATTTTGCAAACTCCAGTTGGCATTGTTGGCTTTTTGTAGTGCTAGAGTAACAAAGATTTTCTTTTTGCCTTAATCTGATTTAGGACATTTGAGGATTTTTATTATGTAGCTCTTTTCTTTCAGCAATAATATTCATTGGATGGGATGAAATGAAGCAATATCAGACCAGGTTTAACAGTTTGTTATGGAAAATATATTTAACTGTCTCTATTATTTAATTATATATCAAAATTATAACATGGATCATCTCAGAGGAAATGAAACAACCAAACACATTTTAATTTTAAAAGATTAGAAGGCTTGCAAAACACTTTGGTCCATCTTTGCATTAATATTGGAAATGAGGTTAAAGTTATTATCCAAAATGTTGACTAGGAAAGATAATCTATTGAAATTAATATCTACATACTTATACATTTTTCTTTTTTTTTTTATTGAAAAAGTTTTCAAATACAAATTTTTCCCCCTTTTTTCCTTCCCCCCCTCCTCCCTAACCCCCCCTCGCCACCCATCCCCCCCTGTGACTTCTTCAAAAACCTAATTCATAACAGATTACATAATATTTTACCATCTCCTTACTCCCTCCTCTATATACTGACCCTTACTTACTAAAAATATTATTGATATTGTTACTTTCCCCTTTTACCATACATTTCAAAAAAAAAGCAGTCTGCTATAACATTGTATGATAACTTCTAATTTAGCATAATATTATTATAACTCCCAATTTAGCAATAATCTGCCCTTTTTGTCCTCCCCAAAACTTATATCTATATATTATTACAACATTTCAAAGCAACCTTCCACTTTAAGACTATATAATAAATCCTACTTTAACATTTATTCTTTGTGTATATTAATATAACATTTCAAAGCAGCCTTCCCCATAAATCCTAATTTAACATTTATTCAACTCTATCCATTTCCTCCACTGCCCTAAATATATCACTTAAACATCCCTTTTCTTAAACTAATCAATCAGTAAACTAACATATTTCCACCCACTTTCCTACAAAATTACCATGCACAACAATTCTTAATATCTTTAATCCACTGCCCACTCTGCTAATATATATATATATATATATATATATATATATATATATATATATATATGTATATATATATATATATATATATTAGCAGAGTGGGCAGTGGATTAAAATATGTATGTATGTATATATCCGTTATTTAAAAAAAAAAGACAATAACTTTAAATTTATAATCATATAATATCTTCTTTGATGTCTTTCCACTGGATTGTTGAGTCCCTCATCCATAATTGGGTAACGTAGCATCCTGGTGCAACAGTTTGTTCAAAGTCTTCAGTCATCATCTGCCCCCATCAGTAATGAATATCCTCATATATATATAAAAGTAAAAACAACCACCCGAGTGACATTATGATTATATTCCATATAGTTGTAATTGTGGCTTTCATCAGGATTATTAATTCCCATCATCCTAATGGGTAACAACCAGATCTTCTGCATGCCCCAACGTAGCTCTCTTGCCTTGTAGCTCAGAATAGTTATAATATATTTATCAATACAAGAAAGAAATCCAAAATAGATAATTCAAATCCAACAGTTTAAGGCTCTTTTCACATCCCAAAATTACGGCATTGCAGAGGTCTGTCACTGTCCTCAGGATGATATTAACCAATACTTTGCCTCCACTATCTTTTCACATATTCATTCATTTTTTTAAAATCACTGGCTTCACCGTTGCTTAATTTAGAAATTTCTGTTTTTGTGAGACCTATTTCTTTTTTTCTTTTCTTTTTGTGGGTTTAATTTCCATCCTGTTTTCCTTTCTACAAGTTGTATATCAACTGATCGGTTTTCATTCTGCTTTATAAGTTGATCTTGTTGGTTTTGTTTTTGTATCTCATATTTCTTTTTTGCCAATTGTATATCAGCTAATTGATTTCCATACTTGTCTTTAACTTGGTGAATCATCACGTTGAAATCAGATGCTGCTTCTCTCATATTTGTAGATAATCCAGCTGGGGTATCGAGAGAATCCAAAGGCAATTTGTCTACCGCAACCTCTGTAATTCGATGTTTTCCCTTTATTTCCAACTCCTTCTGCTTATCCTGTATTGTGCCTATAGATGTTAAGTTCATTTTCAAAATTTTTTGATAAAATTCTTCCGCTTTTTCAACAGTATCTAATTGGTATCTTTCTCCTTGATATCTCAATATTATGCCAACTGGGGCATCCCACCTAAATGAAATATTTCTGTATTTTAACTCATTCACCAGAAAACCAAATTTCTTCCTTTCCGTTAACATCTTGGGGGGGAGCTCTTTGTAGATCCATATCTTTCTTCCATACAATTGCAAAGTAGAATTGAAGGAATTTTGCACAATATTATTCCTAATTTCTTTATCTGTAAAATAAATCACCACATCTCTAGGCAATTGCCTTTGCTTTGCAATCCAGGAGTTTATTCTGTAAACTCTGTCAATCCTACAAAACACTTCCTCAGGTTGAACCTTTAAAATCCCAGCCAGAATTTCAGAAGATATTTTCCTTAAATCATCTCTGTTATTTTCCTGCAAACCTCTCAGTCTGATCGCATATTCTGTAAAATTGTAATGCACCATTAGAACCTCTCTTTCAATCTGTTGTTGTAAATTTTCTGCATTACAAGACTTTTGTTCAACCTCCATTTTAGGTTTTTCTTCTGAGCTATTGTCTTGAATGTTTGTCAAATCATTTTCAATTTTTTGTATTTTATTGTCCAAATTGTCCTCAATTTCTTCCACTTTAGACTCTAATAAGTTAGTATTTTCATCCAACTTAATCATAAATTCTGCAAAGCCATTAGCCATTTTTATAATCTTTCGATCCAGAATATCAAACTTTAATTGCACTAATTCTTTAATTTCCTGCTTAAATTTTTCAAAGTTCTGATTCACAATCTCATCCCTTCTTACAATCTCCTCCAAAAGAAATTCAATTATATTAAAATCAGTTTTCTGAAACTGGAG